GCAAAAAAAGGCTGAATGAGCCTGGGAAGAGGTTTCCTTCTTTATGTGGTTGAATTGGAGGGAGTTCTGAAAACCCTTGCTACTGCATGTCTTGCATTTTATACATGTATAAAAAAAATAGGCATGTCTTACTCAGCTTCACCTAAATGTGCTCACTAAACCAAAAGGGCTTCATTCCACCTGTCACCTCTCCTTACCCTCACTTTCATTACTCCTAGCTGAACACATGCTAGAGAAAACTTGTGGAAAAGAGTTTAAGAATAATTTGAAGGGCTTCCTTGTCAGTGATAAAAAGTGAAATGGGGCGGGTCCTGTAACCTAGCCAGATCCCACATGGCCAACTATGGTTGAAAAACATGCATGGTGTGTGTGTGTGTGTGTATGTGTACATGCCCAAAATTCCAGCAGAATGGAGGACCAGCAGATGGCATAATGGTTATTTTGCTGGACTTCCACATAATCGACCACAGTTCAAGTCCCAGACCTGATGGCTTAAAACTCATGCCAAGCGTGTGTGCCCCAAATCTCTAGAGGAGTAGGGATTGTGGCAGGCCATCCCCCTTAGGGAGTGATTTCATGCCTTCTATCTCTCTGTCTCTGGTGAGCACATGTACCCTATAGCAAAAATCTCTCTCTCAAAAAAAAAAAAAAAAAAAAATGGGACCAGCAGATGGTATAATGGTTATGTCACTGGACTCCTACATGGTCAACTATGGTTCAAGTCCCAGGCCCAGTGGCTCTAAACTAACACTAGTCACATGTGTGTGCGTACCCAAAATCCTGAGAGGAGAATGGAGGAGAAGAGGTTGCTGCATGGCCATCCCCTAGGGGGAATGATTTCTCGCTTCCTGTCTCTCTGTCTCTCGTTCTGTCTCTGCCAGCACAGGCACCATACAGCAAAAATCTATCTAAAACAACAACAACAACAAAATATTTTCCTGGCCATCAGGTGGTGTGGTGGTTAAGGCTCTGGACACACTTGCATATGGTTGACTACAGTTCAAGTCCCGGACCTGGAGGCTTGCTCTCTCATGTCCGCTTGCTTACTCTTTTTCTGTCTCTCTGGTCAAATTAAAATAAGTAAATGAATAAGTAAAATTTAAAATGTTTAAAAATATTTTTCCTTTTTTGGGACCAGCAGGTGGCGTGGTGGTTAAGGTGCTGGACACTCCCACATGGCCAACCACGGTTCCAGTCCCAGACCTGGCGACTTCCTTTCTCCCTTTCCTCTCTCTCTCTCTCTCTCTCTCTCTGTGTCTCTCTGGTCAAATTAAAAATAAATGAATGAATAAATAAAATTAAATAAATAATAATTTAAAATATTTTCCCTTTTTTATAAAAATTTGCTTTGATCAAGGCATTAAATTGTCAATTATGAGGTTTGCCATTGTTTTTTAAATAAAAATAAAAGGCAGAAAATAACGTTGTGGGGCATATATTGTCATTGTAGTATTTTGTCAGAGCATTTTTCTCACTTACATCCTGCAGTTGTCTCATATAATGAACGTTTGTTGCTTGGCTGTTGCATTTCAAGACAATTTGGGTAGGATATATTCTGTCCTTTTTGTAGGAGCATAATACACTTTTATAAATTAAAGTAGCAATGAACTTTTATGCTACTGGCTTTCGCTTTCTTTTTTTTCCCCTTAGGTCAGAACGTCTGCTTTTCTTACTGAAACATCGCAGTTGTGATAGGGCTGTAGCAGCAGAAGCAGAAAAGGGTATCCTAGAGAAAACATGATTCCATAGAGAAAGGCCCTGATATGGCATAGCCTGGTTCTTGGTCCAGTGGCAATATTTGTTGTATTCTGAAGCCAGGGTAAACCAGTATTTATTCATTTTAAATGATCAACTCCTTCCATCTCTAAGTGAGGCTTTATTTGAAAGTTTCAAATTTTCAAAGCATAAGGTTTTATGTTTTGGGAAAGGAATTTTTATTTGTTTGTTTGTTTATCCATGGTTGAGAGCTAGAGAGAGAAACACCCTCTATAGGGTCTTATCATACCCCGATCCCCTTTCCCAGGCCCCTAGTTTCTTAAGATCTTGAGTGTGTCGGGAACCAGCAGTTAGTGTAATGGCTATGTCGCTGGACTCCCACGTAGTCAACCATGGTTCGCGTCTCGGACCCGGTGGCTTAAATCTCACGTCGGGCGCATGTGCGTGGATGCCCAAGATCCCAAGAGGAGAATGGAGGAGAAGGGATTGCGGCGTGGCCATCCCCCCTGGGGGGTGATTTCTCACTTTCTGTCTCTATGTCACTCTGTCTGGTGAGCGCCCCCACCCTATAGCAAAAACCTCTCCAAAAAAAAAAAAAAAGATCTTGAGTGTGTACATGCATTTACCCAGCATATTTGCAGCCTGACCTAGGGACCCAAACCTGTCACAGGCATGTGGCTTCCAGTACATCCCTACTAGGAATTTTTTATTTTTCATTAGAAAAATTTATTTAGGAGGAGCAGCAGATTGCATAATGGTTACATCACTGGACTCCCGTGTAGTTAACCATGGTTGGAATACTGGACCCAGTAGCTTAAAACTCACACTGGGTGTATGTGCATGTGTGCTCAGAATCCCGGAGAAGAAGGGATTGTGGCATGGCCTTCCCTGCTTGAGGGTGATTTCTCACTTTCTGTCTCACTGCTTCTCTCTGGTGAGCTCACATGCTTTACAGCAGAAATCTCTCATTCAATATTTCTTTTTCATTAGAATATTTACTTTTTTAAATACAGATAGCTTCTTATATTCTTCTGCTAGTATATATTTGAAATAGGATTTTGAGAACCAGAATAGATTTGCTGAATTCTTAGTCAAATTCTGTTTGAAGCTATTGTTCCTAGTAGAGAGTAAATGTCCTTCTGGGTTAAATCTGTACAAATTACTTTGGCAAGATTTACAGAATTAAAGTGGTTTGAAAAAGAGAGCTGAACTTTAGACGATTTTGGTGATTACATTTAGGACGCAGTATCACTGGAGCACCCTTTCAATGCTGTGAAACAAGAACAGCAAAGAAAATGGATTGAAGAGTTGAATAAGCAAATAAGAGATGACAGACAAAGAAAAATGGAGGAAAAAATTACACAGTCCAAGGTAAGTTATGAGGTTTTATGCCTATAAAGGAAAAAAAGGCAATCTTACGTAGAATATTCTAAAACTGCTTTATAAGACAAATATTCAAATCCTTCCACATTTGCCCATGTGAACCTGTTTCACCGAATACGTGCAGTTTGATTTTACATATCTCTTTTGAGCTTTTTAGAATTTCCTAATTCTTTGACTTCTCATACTTTCTAAGCTTATTTAAATATGTAAGGAATCCAAACAGAATACAATGTTTATTTGTTATGGTGCTTATTCTGCTCTATGGTGATATTCTAAAATGTTCAGTTGTCATGTCAGATTTTATGCGAGAATAACTGGAAAAATTCTTAGCAATTTTTATTTGTCATGATTAGGGTGAGGAACATGACAGATGGGCAGTGCATTTTGATTCGTTAAAGAGTTATCCTGGTTCTCGGTCTCAGCTGTCCTCTCGGTCAGCACACAAGCAACCAGAGTACTTCTGTGTCTCTCCTGACACTCAGGAGCTGGCTGATATCTGCAGTGTTTATACGCCGATGACAGAAAGCCAGATTGAACCTTCAGAGGAGGAGCATGTAATAAAACCTATTGGGAATGTGGCCATGGCAAACAGTCAAAAAACAAAGTAAGTTTATTCTTAAATATTTGCTGATTGTGGGTCCAGCAGATGGCGTAGCAGATGACCAACGGTGGATCGAGTCCCAGACCTAGTGCCTTAAAATTCACATTGCATGTGCGTATGTGCCTAAGATCCTAGGAGAGTGGAGGAAAAGGGATTACAGGGTCGCCATACACCCAGGGGGTGATTTCTCACTTTCCCTTTCACTGTCTCTTCTCTCTGTCAAGCACACAAGCCGTAGGCAAAAAAACTCTTTAAACATTTCTTTTTTTTTTTTGCTGATTTTAAGAAGGTCTGGTTTGTCTGGTTTTGAACTGGTTTCAAGTTTAGAACATTTTTTTAATAGAAATGATTTGAAGATTTATTCCAAGCAAAAATGGTTCAGTTTTGTTGAACCTAACTTTTTGAGTTGAATATATATGTGTCTTCCAGCTTTCTCCGTTCTATGACTGCTCTCTTGGACCCAGCACAGATTGAGGAACGGGACAGAAGGCGACAAAAACAGTTAGAACATCAGGTAATATATTGTAAAACCTTGTCCTTTGCCTTAATAAGTAATAGTAATGGCCAGTGTTTCCCTAAGTAAATGGAGATTTAAATTCTGGTATAAACTTAAAATATAGGTCCTCCCTCATCTTGTGTAAAGTCCAGTTCCTACCCCAACTGGCATTGCAGTATTTGAATTATGCTTGTACTGTGAACCAGACAGTATCACGTTACAGCTCTTAGCATTGAATATTACTATATTTTTAAGGAGTTATTTATTTACGATTAATATTTTTTTAATTGCTGTAGGGCATATGCACTCACCATAGTGAGAAAGAGAAAGAAAAAAGAAGGAAAGCAAGAAAACAAGCCACCATGTCCAGGACTCAAACTGCAATAGGCCATGAGGGAGTCCAGTACCTCAACCACCGTGCTGCCTGTTGGCCCCTTGAATATTATTTTTATCAGTTCTTTTCTTCAAAGTTCTGTTCAGAATGAGAATTAGTTTTTTGAAAAGATACTATAGAGGAGATTGAAGTAGACATTAAGAAGTCTTGCACGGGGACTAGCAGATGCCATACTTACATTATTGGACTCCCACATGGCCTACCACGTTTGAGTTCCAGGCCCTGCAAATTGAAACTCATGCCAGGCGCATGTGCAGGTGTGCCCAAGATCCCAGTTTGAGTCCTGCCTGGACCCAGCGGCTTGCTTACTCTCCCTCTCCCTCTCCTTCTGTCCTCTGGTCAAATTAAAATAAATAAATAAATAAACAAACTAAAGTTTAATACAGGAATTCTTTTAAAAATAAAAGAGAAAGGAGCTAAATATAAATAAAACGAAAAGTCTTTCCCCCAATTTTAGTCTTAATACTATAGAGACTTAAATGTCTTGAGGCTAGTAGGTGGCGGTTGGTTGTGGTGCTGGACTTCTACCTGACAAACGGTGGTTTCAGTCCTAGACTTGGTAGCATGCTTTCTCACTTTCCCTCCACCCCATCCCTCATCTCTCTGGTGAGTATGTGTGCCATGTAGCAAATTTAAAAAATAATTATAATGATAAATTAAATAATTTTTTTTAAAAAGAAGACACTTAAATGTCTGAAAAATTTTTCTTAAATCACCAGCAAGCACACATGCCACAGGAGAGAGAGAACACACCCCCTAATGGGGCATGATCATGCCACAATCCCTTCCCCACTTTCTATCTTGCCTGGATTTTGGCCGTACACACATATAGGGCAGGCATGTTTCTGAAGCCACCAGGGCTGGAATTCAAACCATGGTTCACCATGTGGCATCTGGTTCCCTTAACCATCTGGTGCTACAGGACTGCCTCTGAACAATTTTTTAAGATCTTCAATATATGAAGAATTTGGCATAATCTTATTCAGTGAGCAGACATTTTTAGAGCTTCTGCTACTTAGCACTGAGATTATTTCTTCAGTTTTCCTATCAGTTCTTCCAACAGCCCTTCTAGGGCCAAAGAAAGAGCATGTGAAATTTGACAAGTGGGAGAATGGTACACTGAAATTTTCACATTTTAATTTTACTCATATACATAATACTTTTTGTTTAACTGATATTCTGAAGACAGCAAATGGTACACTGTTATAAGCTTTTTACTTGTAACAATGATTTATGTGATTGTTATGACTAGAAAGCCATCACTGCTCAGGTAGAAGAGAAACGCAGGCAAAAACAACTGGAGGAAGAGCAGCGAAGAAAGGAGGAACAAGAAGAAGAGCGTCGATTAGCACGGGAACGAGAAGAGATGCAAAAACAGTATGAAGAAGACATACTTAAGCAAAAACAGAAAGAAGTAGGTATTTATATCCTAACAATAAAGCTGTGCGTGTGTATATATTTTGTTTGTTTCAGTTTACTATAAGGGCATGTGCACTATCCAGAGAAAGAGACATTTCTCGTGATGACTATGAGGACAGCGTAACTGAGGTGCCTGCTATGACCTCTGACTTGCCGTAATCCAACTAGCCAGAGAACGAATTAGTTGTCTGTGTCTGCGATGGAGAAATTCTTGAGCCCTCCCCTAAGCTTGATAAATATATTATTTATTGATTACTTGAGGAAAAAGTAAGGAGAAAAACATGGTCATTCTGTAGAAAATAACTAAAGAGCACCCAGTGAATTTGAGCAGATTCCATTTGTCATAGATAGTAGGTAGGTTGGTTATTTTTTGTTTGTTTTAGCTACAGGGTGTGTGTGTTCACCAGAGAAAAACAGAGAAAAAGAAGGAAAGTGAGAAAGCACCCCTGGGGGGATGGCCACACCACAGTCCCTTCTCCTCTTGGGTTTTGGGCACACACACACACACTGGGTCTGGGACTCAACCTCACAATCATCATGTGGGATCCAGCCTCCTTAACTACTGTGCCACTGGTGGCCCAAAAATTTATGTTTTTAAGGGGGAAAATGACCAGAAGTCTGAATTTGCATGTATTTTGAAGTTGTGGAATTAACATATTGAATCATGAACGCTGCATAAAAAAGGTTAGGGAGGTAAAGGAAACGCTCGAGATTTTATTTCACGTGATGTGGTAGGTTACTACTTTGGCCTTTTCTTTCTGGTGAGGAGGTCAGGACAAAGCCAAAGTTACCCCTGTGCTTGATTGTTACCTACTTCTGGATATGAGGAGTATCTTTGCTTCGTTTTTAAGCAGTGATTATTAATAATTCTTCCAGGTAAGTTAAGAGAATTGATTGGCCTTCCTGTGTCCACTTGTGAACAGTTTATATTTGCAGAGTGGTTGACTGAGATTGATGATACAGTTCATGGGTAAGTTAGACATTTTCTCTGAGCCAAAACAGCCTTTTTGTTTTTTCTTTCTTAACTTTGCCAGAGGGTATATGCGCTTGCTGGGGTGGGAGTGCTAAGAAAACACTGTCAGTGGAGAATGGTCTCACCACAGCCCCTTCTCCATTTCCCCTTTTGTGATTTTGGGCGCAGGCACACGTGTGCTGGTGTGTTTTTCAAGCTGTTGGGTTTGCGACGCAAACAGTGTATTCAGCCACTTTAGCCATTATGCTGGGTGGCCCAGTAAGAGCTTTTGTTAAAAGGGTAGATACCTGGTTGACTCGGAGAATCCCTGAAGGCAGACAGGAAATAGATGGTGTCGAGTGCTGATCGGTCAGCCAGAAACGTGACATTCATTGGTCAAAACTTAAAGAGAACAGTTTGACCAGCAGGTGGTATGGTTAATGCACTGGATCCTGCACGGCTGATGCCCTGGTTGGAGTCCCAGACCCAGTGGCTTGAGAATCATGCCTGGCATGTGTGTGTGCATGCCCAAAATCGTAGGAGGAGAAGGGATCGTAACATAGCTATCCCTCTGGGGAGTGACTTCTCACTTTCTCTTTCTTTCTGTGTGTCTCTGTCTGTCTCAGGTGAGTTCGTGCACCCTGTAACAAAAACTTTAAAAAAAAAAAAAAAGAGTCGAACAGTCTGCCTTTTCCCAGTTGGCAAGGTTCACTTCAAAAATGGCTGGTAAAGGGACACATAGTCTGACTTCTGATTTTATTGAGTTGAATAGTTGTATCACCCATGCAAGACAGGAGAAAACCAATAAATGTTATTCGCTTGACCATAAGCCTTGTTTTACCTTTTAACATTTATTTTTAGTCTTAATATAATTTTAATAGACCATCAGTTTCACAACTGAAACTTAACTAGCATAAAATATACATGGTTTGGGCCAGGTGTACAGGTTAAGGTAGTTGGATTCCACAACTGACTGCATGATTTGAGTCCTGGACCCAGTAGCTTGAAATCCACACTGGGTGTGTGTGTGCATGTACATGATCGCAAGAGGAGAATAAAGGGATTGCAGCTTGGCCATCCCCCCAGTGGAGGGAGTGATTTCTCACTTTCTCTTTCTCTGTCTCTCCAAGGAGCTCACATGCCCTATGGAAAAAGCCTAAAATAAAGCCCATTAACTGTAGTTATTGATTAAAGAGAATTATGTATGTTATGCAGCTGTTCAGAAAATGTTAAAACCTGAGCTTTAGGGGCCGGCAGGTGGTGTGGTTAAGGGTGCTGGACGCCCACATTACTGACTGCATTTTGAGTCCTGGACTTGGTGGCTTGCTTTCTCACTTTCTCTCTCTCTGGTCAAATTTAAAATGAAGTTAAATAAAATAATCCCTAAAAAAAAGTGAGCGCTAGGCTCAGCTGGCAGTGGTGCAGTGGCAGTGCACTGCTTCACATGCTGGTTCTGAGGGTAAGCATGTGCCCATGGGAGGAGGGTCAGGTCATCAGACCCTGTTGAGGGAACTTATCTCCTCCCACCCCCTGCTTTTCATGCTAGAGACTTATAAACTATAAAATGGCAGGAACTTTGCCCTTTTAACTGTTCTACCCCAGTATCTGGGCCAGTGTCTAATATACAGAAGTTCAGAAAATGAGTATTGAGAGGGAACAGTCAAGACCATCGTACGTGTTAGCTAATGCTGTTTAATCACTTCGTACACATCATCGATAGGAAATCATGACTCTGAAGACACACGAGCTGTTCCAGACGATGCAGAGAGCACAGGAGCTGGCACAGAGACTGAAGCAAGAGCAGAGAATCCGAGAACTGACCCAAAAGGGACATGACACTTCTAGGTTGATTAAAAACCTTGGTGGTAAGAATGTAAACAAAACTTGATTTATATATATTTTGCAGATGACTTTAAATAGTTGACTATTTTAATTACCTTTTATATCTATTAACTAAATATTTCTAAAGGAATTTTAGACTATAATTATATAAGGATGTTTATTTTATTTGGGAAATCACCTTAAAAGTAGAAATGATAACATTTCAGCATCTTTTCACCTATATTCTGTGTTGCTCATAATAATCCTGTGACATGGGTAAAAATAAACTTTTGAACTTATTCTCACAAAGAAAACTATTACGTGATTCCCCTGAATGTAGGAAGGTAAAACAATGCAGGTTAACCTTTTCTAAGAAATTTTAAGCTAGCTTTTCTAAATTTTTAGTGCATTGTGTCATCTTATCAGGTAATTTATTTCTCGTTGCCAGTTGATCCAATACAAGCGGAATATAATGCATCCACAAAGAATGTTTCAAATTCAAGACATGACTCTGGTGAAGTCAGTGGTAAAGTGAATACAGGCATTAATCTTATGACTTCCCCCAAGAAGGATACTGGTGTACAAACAGGTATCTGTGTGTAAAATATTTGTTTAAACTTTACTTAAAGGCATAATTAAAATAATTAGAATTCAGTTTGAAGTTTAAAAATTGGGACCAGCGGATGACAATAATGGTTACATTGCTGGACTTGCACATAGACTGTGGATTGAGTCCTGGACCCAGTGGCTTAAAACTCACACTGGCTATATGTGCATGCCCCAAATCCTAGGAAAAGAATGAAGGAAAAGGGACTGTGGTATGGCCATCCCCCCCAGGGGCTGATTTCTTGCTTCTGTGTCTCTCTGTCTCTCCAGTGAGTGCACATGCCCTATAGCAAAAACTACTCTCCAAAAAAATAAATAAATGAAATTGAGTTTTCAGTAACTGAGGTAGAAAATATGGGAATCTTTTAGGGATTTTCGGTAACAACCTTTTTTGAGATGTAAGTCACATACCATAAAATGTACCCTTAAAAAGTACAGATTTATGGGACCAGCAGCTGTCATAATGGCTAAGTCACTGGACTCCCATGTAGTAAACTACAGTTCAAGTCCTGGACCCAGTGGCTTAAACTCACACCAGGTGTGTGTGCTCAAGATCCCGGGAAGAGAATGGAGGATTACAGCATGGCCATCTCCCCTCCCCTCCCCCCAAAAAAAGGTACAGATTTGTGGTTTCTTTCTTTTCTTTTTTTTTTTAAAGAATTACTTTATTTAACTTCATTTATTTTTTTAGTTTGACCAGAGAGGGGACAGAGTGAGAATAAGAGAGAGGGGGGGGGAGCGAGGAAGCAAACTATCAGGTCTGCCCAGGACTCAAACCGCCGTTGGACCATGTGGAAGTCCAGTGCCTTAACCAACATGCCACCTGCTGGCCCCAGTTTGTTTTTCTTAAGTATATTCACAGCTGTTGCAACTATCACCACAATCAATTTTGAAACATCGTCATTCTAAAAAGAAGCTCTATAACCATTAGTCACTTTCTGTTTCCCATCTCTGTAGTTAACTTTCCAAGTATTTATTTACCTTTTCTACAGACATTTCATGTTAATTGGGCTTTTGCGTCTGGTTTCTTTCACTTAGCATAGTATTTTTAGGTTTCATCCATGTCGTACAATAGTATGTATCAGTTACTTCATTCCTTTTTCTCACTCGTCCATGAGTAGATGGACATTGGAGTTAGTTCTTCTCCTTGGCCATTATGACTACGCAGCTATGTCACGTACAGGTTTTTGTGCTCGTAGTTATAGAAGAGTAGAACTGCCAAATCTTCCGGTCACTAAACTACCATTTTTTATTCCAACCAGTCATGCATCAGAATTCTAATTTCACTATGTCCTTGCCAACACTTGTTACTGCAGTAGTTGGAAAGTTGTGTTTTATGTGATTTTAAATTGCATTTCTGCAAAGATCAATGGTGTTGACTATCTTTCCATGTGCTGGTGTTAAATATGTTTTAATTTTATGCCAGGTTTGTACACTCACAGTGGGAAGCAACCCCCCCCCTCGCCTGCCCTTCCCACCCCCCTGCCCCAGAGGGGGATGGTCATGCTGCAGTCCTTTTTCCTACCATTTATCTTGGGATTTTGAAGCCACCAGGCCAGGCAGGGTTCACACCACAATCATGATCAGGTTCCCTATGTATTGTGCTTAGTCACTGCAGTGTGGGGCCAGCCTAGTTTTTTCCTTTTCTTTTTAGAAGTTTGTCAGAGGGTGCTTGCCAATGAGAAACCAGGGATTGGAGGGGTTGGCAGCTATGCCCCATGGGGCACAGTCCTGCAACAGTCCTTTCTCCTTTGTTCCTCTCTCCTTTGTGGAGGTTGGGCATGTGTGCACAGTACCAGCTATGATTTTCAAGCTGCCAGAGTATGGTTAGCCATGTGGGATCCAACTGCCTTAACCACCAGAAGTTTTTAAATAGGTAATAATATATCTGGGTTGGGTATCATTACCATAGGTGTCCATGTTTATGGATTCTTCCAGCCCTCCACCTATCTTGGAAGAAAACATGTTAAGATAACTTCTAGAAAATCTTTTACATTTTCTTTTCTTTTCAAGGTTTTTGCCATAGGCTGTGTGTGCCTGCCAGAGAGTGGCAGTGAGAGGGAAAGTGAGAAATCACCCCCTAGGAGGAAGGTCACGCTACAGTCTCCTCCGTCATTCTCTTGGGATTTTGAACATGCATACACACGCACTCAGCATGATTTTCAAGCTTCCACGCCTGAAACATGGTTGGCTATGTGGGAGTCTAGCACCTCAACTATCACACCTACCTCTGGCCCCACTTTTTAGATTTTCACCTTTTAAAGATTTTGCTATATAGACAGAGGGAAAGTGAGAAGTTACCCCTTAGGGGGTATGACCGCACTGCAGTTCTTTCTCCCATTTTTCTCCCAGGATTTTTGGGATGTGCCCATAGGCGCTCATGTGTTCTTAAAGCTACCCAGTCTGAGACCCAAACCACAGAGGCAGTCATGTGGGATTCTGTGCCTTAACTACCACGCCACCTGCTGGTCCCCATCTTCACTTTTTAAACCAGTTACCAGCGGACCTGTTCTATCGGTATTTATAGTCCTTGGTGATCCTAGAATAACTTTAAAAAAGGCAAAAATATAATCAGGAGAAACTATTGTCTGATCCACTCAGAAGTTGGCTCGCCTCAAAGCTAAAATGTTCTAAGGAGGGACCAGCAGATAGTGTAATGGTTATGTCGTTGGACTCCCACATATCTGACCGTGGTTGGAGTCCCAGACCCAGTGGCTTAAAACTTAGACTGGGCACGTGTGTGTGCATGCACTAAATCTCAAGAATCCCCCTTGGGTGATTTCTCACTTTTTGTTGGTCTCTCTGGCAGGTGCACATGCCCTGTAGTGAAAATCTCTCCAGACAATAATATTGTAAGGAAATAATTTTCCTAACAGCACTCGTAACACAATGTTTTGCTGGTTACTTTTTCACTCCAGTATAACACCAAAATAGTACATCACGTGAAGTGGATGGTGTTGGAGATTGGGCAGCTTTGTTGGCGTGCTTTGAATATGCTTGCTGTTCACTAAAAGGTACACTTAAAAATGGTTAAAATAGGGACCAACAGTTAGCGAAATGACTATGTCGCTGGACTCCCATGTAGTTGACTGTGGTTTGAGTCCCAGACCTGTTGGCTTAAACTCACGCTGGGTGCGTGTGCATGCATGCCCAAGATCCCAAGAGGAGAACAGAGGGAAAGGGATTGCGGTGTGGCCATCCACCCAGGGGTGATTTCTCACTTTCTATCTGTCTTTATCTTTCGAGTGCATGCGCCCTATAGCAAAAACCTCTCAAAAAAAAAAAAAAATTAGAGGCCAGTATATAAGGATGTTTATTTTATTTGGGAAATCACCTTAAAAGTAGAAATGATAACATTTCAGCATCTTTTCACCTATATTCTGTGTTGCTCATAATAATCCTGTGACATGGGTAAAAATAAACTTTTGAACTTATTCTCACAAAGAAAACTATTACGTGATTCCCCTGAATGTAGGAAGGTAAAACAATGCAGGTTAACCTTTTCTAAGAAATTTTAAGCTAGCTTTTCTAAATTTTTAGTGCATTGTGTCATCTTATCAGGTAATTTATTTCTCGTTGCCAGTTGATCCAATACAAGCGGAATATAATGCATCCACAAAGAATGTTTCAAATTCAAGACATGACTCTGGTGAAGTCAGTGGTAAAGTGAATACAGGCATTAATCTTATGACTTCCCCCAAGAAGGATACTGGTGTACAAACAGGTATCTGTGTGTAAAATATTTGTTTAAACTTTACTTAAAGGCATAATTAAAATAATTAGAATTCAGTTTGAAGTTTAAAAATTGGGACCAGCGGATGACAATAATGGTTACATTGCTGGACTTGCACATAGACTGTGGATTGAGTCCTGGACCCAGTGGCTTAAAACTCACACTGGCTATATGTGCATGCCCCAAATCCTAGGAAAAGAATGAAGGAAAAGGGACTGTGGTATGGCCATCCCCCCCAGGGGCTGATTTCTTGCTTCTGTGTCTCTCTGTCTCTCCAGTGAGTGCACATGCCCTATAGCAAAAACTACTCTCCAAAAAAATAAATAAATGAAATTGAGTTTTCAGTAACTGAGGTAGAAAATATGGGAATCTTTTAGGGATTTTCGGTAACAACCTTTTTTGAGATGTAAGTCACATACCATAAAATGTACCCTTAAAAAGTACAGATTTATGGGACCAGCAGCTGTCATAATGGCTAAGTCACTGGACTCCCATGTAGTAAACTACAGTTCAAGTCCTGGACCCAGTGGCTTAAACTCACACCAGGTGTGTGTGCTCAAGATCCCGGGAAGAGAATGGAGGATTACAGCATGGCCATCTCCCCTCCCCTCCCCCCAAAAAAAGGTACAGATTTGTGGTTTCTTTCTTTTCTTTTTTTTTTTAAAGAATTACTTTATTTAACTTCATTTATTTTTTTAGTTTGACCAGAGAGGGGACAGAGTGAGAATAAGAGAGAGGGGGGGGGAGCGAGGAAGCAAACTATCAGGTCTGCCCAGGACTCAAACCGCCGTTGGACCATGTGGAAGTCCAGTGCCTTAACCAACATGCCACCTGCTGGCCCCAGTTTGTTTTTCTTAAGTATATTCACAGCTGTTGCAACTATCACCACAATCAATTTTGAAACATCGTCATTCTAAAAAGAAGCTCTATAACCATTAGTCACTTTCTGTTTCCCATCTCTGTAGTTAACTTTCCAAGTATTTATTTACCTTTTCTACAGACATTTCATGTTAATTGGGCTTTTGCGTCTGGTTTCTTTCACTTAGCATAGTATTTTTAGGTTTCATCCATGTCGTACAATAGTATGTATCAGTTACTTCATTCCTTTTTCTCACTCGTCCATGAGTAGATGGACATTGGAGTTAGTTCTTCTCCTTGGCCATTATGACTACGCAGCTATGTCACGTACAGGTTTTTGTGCTCGTAGTTATAGAAGAGTAGAACTGCCAAATCTTCCGGTCACTAAACTACCATTTTTTATTCCAACCAGTCATGCATCAGAATTCTAATTTCACTATGTCCTTGCCAACACTTGTTACTGCAGTAGTTGGAAAGTTGTGTTTTATGTGATTTTAAATTGCATTTCTGCAAAGATCAATGGTGTTGACTATCTTTCCATGTGCTGGTGTTAAATATGTTTTAATTTTATGCCAGGTTTGTACACTCACAGTGGGAAGCAACCCCCCCCCTCGCCTGCCCTTCCCACCCCCCTGCCCCAGAGGGGGATGGTCATGCTGCAGTCCTTTTTCCTACCATTTATCTTGGGATTTTGAAGCCACCAGGCCAGGCAGGGTTCACACCACAATCATGATCAGGTTCCCTATGTATTGTGCTTAGTCACTGCAGTGTGGGGCCAGCCTAGTTTTTTCCTTTTCTTTTTAGAAGTTTGTCAGAGGGTGCTTGCCAATGAGAAACCAGGGATTGGAGGGGTTGGCAGCTATGCCCCATGGGGCACAGTCCTGCAACAGTCCTTTCTCCTTTGTTCCTCTCTCCTTTGTGGAGGTTGGGCATGTGTGCACAGTACCAGCTATGATTTTCAAGCTGCCAGAGTATGGTTAGCCATGTGGGATCCAACTGCCTTAACCACCAGAAGTTTTTAAATAGGTAATAATATATCTGGGTTGGGTATCATTACCATAGGTGTCCATGTTTATGGATTCTTCCAGCCCTCCACCTATCTTGGAAGAAAACATGTTAAGATAACTTCTAGAAAATCTTTTACATTTTCTTTTCTTTTCAAGGTTTTTGCCATAGGCTGTGTGTGCCTGCCAGAGAGTGGCAGTGAGAGGGAAAGTGAGAAATCACCCCCTAGGAGGAAGGTCACGCTACAGTCTCCTCCGTCATTCTCTTGGGATTTTGAACATGCATACACACGCACTCAGCATGATTTTCAAGCTTCCACGCCTGAAACATGGTTGGCTATGTGGGAGTCTAGCACCTCAACTATCACACCTACCTCTGGCCCCACTTTTTAGATTTTCACCTTTTAAAGATTTTGCTATATAGACAGAGGGAAAGTGAGAAGTTACCCCTTAGGGGGTATGACCGCACTGCAGTTCTTTCTCCCATTTTTCTCCCAGGATTTTTGGGATGTGCCCATAGGCGCTCATGTGTTCTTAAAGCTACCCAGTCTGAGACCCAAACCACAGAGGCAGTCATGTGGGATTCTGTGCCTTAACTACCACGCCACCTGCTGGTCCCCATCTTCACTTTTTAAACCAGTTACCAGCGGACCTGTTCTATCGGTATTTATAGTCCTTGGTGATCCTAGAATAACTTTAAAAAAGGCAAAAATATAATCAGGAGAAACTATTGTCTGATCCACTCAGAAGTTGGCTCGCCTCAAAGCTAAAATGTTCTAAGGAGGGACCAGCAGATAGTGTAATGGTTATGTCGTTGGACTCCCACATATCTGACCGTGGTTGGAGTCCCAGACCCAGTGGCTTAAAACTTAGACTGGGCACGTGTGTGTGCATGCACTAAATCTCAAGAATCCCCCTTGGGTGATTTCTCACTTTTTGTTGGTCTCTCTGGCAGGTGCACATGCCCTGTAGTGAAAATCTCTCCAGACAATAATATTGTAAGGAAATAATTTTCCTAACAGCACTCGTAACACAATGTTTTGCTGGTTACTTTTTCACTCCAGTATAACACCAAAATAGTACATCACGTGAAGTGGATGGTGTTGGAGATTGGGCAGCTTTGTTGGCGTGCTTTGAATATGCTTGCTGTTCACTAAAAGGTACACTTAAAAATGGTTAAAATAGGGACCAACAGTTAGCGAAATGACTATGTCGCTGGACTCCCATGTAGTTGACTGTGGTTTGAGTCCCAGACCTGTTGGCTTAAACTCACGCTGGGTGCGTGTGCATGCATGCCCAAGATCCCAAGAGGAGAACAGAGGGAAAGGGATTGCGGTGTGGCCATCCACCCAGGGGTGATTTCTCACTTTCTATCTGTCTTTATCTTTCGAGTGCATGCGCCCTATAGCAAAAACCTCTCAAAAAAAAAAAAAAAAAAAAATTAGAGGCCAGTAGGGAGGGTTAAAGGCACTGAGTCTAGTACCTGGAGGCTTGAAAATCACACCGGGCAGGTGTGCGTGTGTGCCCACCCAAACTCTCAGGAGAATGGAGAAGAGATTGCACTATGGCCACCCTCCCCCCCAGGGTAGGAGGTGTGATTTCTCACTTTTCCTCTCACTGTCTCTCTCTTTGGCAAGTGCTTACACCCTATGGCAAAAACCTTTTTTTAAAAAGGGTTAATGTAGAGGTTTTAGAGAAATGGCAACTCTTGTGCTCTGTTGGTAGCAATGTAAAATGTTGCAGCTGCTATGGAAAACAGTATGGCAGTTCTTCAGAAAAGTAAAATGAGATATTTGGGTACTGTGTTCATAGCAGCATTATTTACATAGTCAAAAGGGAGAAGCAACTTAATTCAATGGACAGATGAACAGATAAGCAAAAATATGGTGTATCTATACACACACATAATGGAATGTTATTGAGGAAAAGGGAGAGAAATTTGGACATATATCACAACATGGAGGACCCTGACAACACTTTGTATGACTCTAGAATAGCCAGTTCATAGAAACAGTAAAGTGGTGGTTGCTAAGAGCCAGTGGTAGGAAGGAATATGGAGCCGATGTTATTATTACTATTATTACTTTTAAATTTGACTGAAGAGACACAGAGAAAGGGAAAGTGACAAAGCAAGGTGCCAGGTCTGGGGCTTGAACCGCAATCAGCCATGTGGGAGCCCAGCATCTCACGCCACCTGCTGGCCCTGAGGGTTAGAGTGTCGTTTGTTCTGAAACACAAGTCTTTTTCTATTGCCTTTAAATAAATCATTTGAAACTTTTTTTTAGATGACTTAAATACAGGAATATTCACCAACACAGAATCACACTGTGGATCAGTAATAGAGAGGGAGATGATGAATTGTTCATCTCCCAAGACTTCTGCAGAATTTAACGGACAGTTTAACACTAAGAAAAACAAGCAAGCTGTGAGACAGGATAAAGGAGACAACTTAGAAAAAGAAAACTGGCATGATGACCAGTGCAATCAGTGTACAGGAACAGAGAAACAAACAAAACACATGAAGAAATATTCTGAAAGACCTCACTGGAATATTAATAAACCACTGAAAAGATATATTCCAGCATCAGAAAAGTACCCTCAACACCTTCAAAAGCAGAGAGAAGAAAAAAAAGTAAGAAGGCAAATGGAATTACTTCATTTGGTAGAGAGAAATAATCCGGGGCACCTCTCTCAAAATAGAGGCACTTCACCAAAAGTTCTTCATCCATCTCATCAAGAAACAGAGTCAAAATTCACATGGCACCTAATCAAAAAGGTAAAGTTCTGTCTTAAAAATATTTTAAAACATGGATTGATGTTTCTAGATTCAAAACAGATATTAAGAGTTAGCGGAGGAACCAGCAGTTAGCGTAATGGCTATGTCGCTGGACTCCCATGTAGTTGACCGTGGTTCGCATCCTGGACCTGGTGGCTTAAAACTCACGCCAGGTGCGTGTGCGTGTGTGCCCAAGATCCCGAGAGGAGAATGGAGAAGGGATTGCTCTGTGGCCATCCCCCCTGGGGGGGTGATTTCTCGCTTACAGTCTGTCTATCTGGTGAGCGCATGCGCCCGATAGCAAAAACCTCTCTCCAAAAAAAAAGTGTTAGTGGATTATAGTTGTTGAGCAAATCTATCCTGCTGCTCACTTTCCTAAATTTGTTTTTAGGAACACAGCCATGTCTATTCTTTTATCATTTGTGGCGGTGGCTTGTTTTACACTACACCAGCAGAGGTGAACATCTGCAACAGACCATATGGCCCAGAAAGCTGAAAATGCTTATTGTCTGGTCTACAGAAAATTTTACACTTAACCCATACAGATGTATGGTATTCTTCACCCATTTAAAACCCTTGTTTATAAGTGGGCAGGGCAGATCAGGAAATGGGAACCACTGAATTGGTCTGACTTGGAAAAAGAATCATCTCTCCCATTATACAGTATCTGTATTTATTTAAAAAAAAAAATTCTTTTTTTTTTTTTTGAAGAAAAAAGAATAGGATAGGGAGGGAGGAGGGGAGAAAGGGAAAGGAAAAGTGAGAAAGTAAGCCACCAGGTCTGGCACTCAACCAAGGTTGGCCATGTGGGAATCCAACGCCTTCAGCTACCGCTGGCTCCAATCCTTGTTATTTCAACAAGTAACCACTAAACACTTGTGGAGGCATACTATTTACTCCTTCGTGCATTTGTTCATCTTGTAGGAGGAAGAAGAGCCTGTAAAAGATAATTCATTCAACAAAGAAAGGTATGCTACGTGTCAGTGCTTTCTGTGTGAGACAAAGGAGGTAATAAAACAGACTCGAAATCTAGGTGAGACCAGGCGTGCGTGCATGCACGAACACACACACCCCAATGAAAGGGTAGAGCTTCCAGATAAGGAGTACAGGCTTAAGGAATACGGCTGCATTGTAACTGTAGCTTGAAGGCCCACCAGACTTAGGCAAGCAGTTTTACTTCAGTAGTTGAGCAGGCATTTTGTTTGGATTGAGGTGGGGAGGGAAGAAATGGTTCATAAGGACAATTGAGTAAATTCAGTTAATAAGTGGGAAATTCAGAACAGTTAGAATATGCATTCTACATCTCTGCACAAATCACTGAGTTCACAGCTAGTTCAGAATGGGGCTGAAATAGTAAGTTTATTTCAGATGCTAATTACATTTACATTATGGTAAATTATCTAAGAAGGAAAAATGGACTCAAATTAACCCAGCCATCACTGATCCTCAGGATCTAATAGTTTTCCTCCTATACTGTGTATGTGTGTGCATACACACACATATATATATATATACATACACACACACCTCAATACAAGTAAAAACTCAAAGTAATTCTGTTGCAGTTTTATGAAAAGTTGCAGAACTCAGAATAGTGTTCCTAAAGGTGTGAGAGGTACATTTAGAACAAATTGAAATGTGATTAAAGAGAGGTGCTTAATCTAAACCATGTAATAGTCTAATTACTTCTTTTCAAATAGGTCTCAATCACCACCAGTTCCAGCAGTGAAAAACAGAACCCAGCAAACTCAGACTAACACAGTACACTTACCGCTGAAAAACAGTAGCCATGAAAACGAGAACTTGATCTCGGGAGGCAGTCAAACGGAGTCATCACCTGAGATAGCTGAACTATCCCGTTTTATTCCCTATGTCCGAACAAATGAGATCTATTACCTTGACCCAAACGCACCCTTGTCTAGGCCCTCAACTCAGGATCAAAATTCTCATGGTAAGTACATTCATACTACAGAAGTAAAATTGATGATCAGCGTGATTCCCCCAACATTAAATTCAACTTCCAAATACGTAATTTTTGCCCTTAGTTCTCAGTTGTGCTTATGTAGTTTGCCCAAGAGAAGTGGAACGAATTTCTTAGAATTTCTTTTGGAGTCCCATTTACTAGGAATGTATTTGACTTTTTCCCAACTTCCTCTAGTTTCAGCCTGTGACCAAGAACAGCAGTTCTTTGATTCTGACCATGTCAGGGATCCACTTCTTAATCCTAGCTTGGTGAAAAACAGGGATCGACAGCAAGCAATCCTTAAGGGACTTTCAGAACTGAGGCAGGTACGAACTTTTCACCAAGTGTAGATGTGGGTGTGTGTGTGTGTGGCGGGGGGTGTTTGAGTTGAATGGCTAAGTGCCTCGTTGATTACATGATTTATGCTACCTTACCATAGCCCATAAATATTTGTTCCTGTGGTTAATCAGTGATAAAAAGGGAATCTCCTTGGATTTGTGTTCCCATTGCAGGTTTAAGAATAAATCATGAGACAGCACTAGTATGAAGACAATTTTATTTCGTTAAAAAGTTCATACATCTGAATGATAAAAACATGATCAATTAAAGCCTAAAACCAAACACAAAAAATACACAATTATGCTTTACTAAATTCTTAGCAATGCAGCCCACAGTTTTAAAAAAAAATGAATATATTGCCAGTGTTTGGAACATCTGTCCCAAGAATAACAATTTAGTATTAATATTTTATTCTCTTGCTAAGCAGGTAAAAACATTTACGGTTATAACTTTGTTCATCAGTTGTACCTGGGATTTAAAAAAATGGCTTACAAAATCAGTTCTGCAGTTTTGATTCATTGTGTATTTGGGAAAAATGATCTCTACTATTTTTTAGGAGTGCCCTTTTCCATGCCCAGTCATTTATGAACGCCCCTGAATTTTGGAATATTTGTTCAGGTGTTGCTTACCCATTTTCTCTACAGAGCTAGAAAAGTACACTCCCCTTTGGCCCACTACTCATTAAGGACAACCACCCTGTGTCCTTTAGTTTAAAATGTTAGTTCTGGGACCAGCAGGGTAGTGTATGGGTTAGGGCACTGGACTCCCATGTGGCCAATTGCTGTCCAAGTCCCAGGGGCTTAAAACTCCCACCAGGAGCACGTGCATGCGAAGTCCCAAGAAGAAAAAGAAGGGAATGTAGCATGGCCACCACCACACCTACTCCCCTCCCCCCTACAGGGGGTGCTTTGTCTCTCCGGTGAGCACACATACCCTATAGCAAAAATCTCAAATGTTAGTTCTGGTTACATAGGACTCAATCTTGGTAACACACAGTAATTTCTCTTTTATAAAGTGACAAGGTATTTTTATATGATGCTCACATTTACCCAAATATAGTGCCCAACGTGGCTCCTTCAGCGTGTTACCATCTTTTTTTTTCTTTTTCTCGAGAGGTTTTGCTATAGGGCGCGTGTGCTCACCAGAAAGAGAGAGAAAGCGAGAAATCACCCCCCAGGGGGGATGGCCACCACACTGCAACCCCTTCTCCTCCTTTCTCCTCTCAGGATCTTGGGCATGCACGCACGCACCTGGCGTTAGTTTAAGCCACCAGGTCTGGGACTCAAACTGCAGTCAACTACACTGGAGTCCAGCAACACAGCAATTATGCCAGTTGCTAGTCTTGCATGTTATCATCTTAAGAGCCCCCGGGGAGAAGTAAGCAGAACGGGGTGGATTTCATCTTAGCCCCATAGTAAAGGGAAACTTGATTTTAAGAAAAGTCTTATAATCTCACAACTATGTAATACTGGTGTAATAGCCAAATGAGAAGGTCCTATGCAGAGATTACTGGGGGTGGGGGGGTTGGGGGAGAAGGCCAAGGTAAACCTATGGCCAGCTTGACTCCATCATGTTATCCAAAATAAGTATGATTCTGGGTTACCAGGCCAGCAGTGTAAAACAGAAAGCGTTTGTAAGTTGGCTGCACACCTTACTAATATGTCAATGTGGTTGCAGGGCCTTCTCCAGAAGCAAAAGGAGCTGGAAACTAATCTCATGCCATTAACTGCACATCAAGAAGAGAATTTTAGTTGTTTTTAATGTAGATAACCAAATTTGAGTCTCCCAAATTATAAAATGTGCTTATTGTTCAAACTGTATTTTTCAATAGTCTCAACTTTTCCAATGCTTATTAAAAATTTGTATATTATGTAGTAAAAATGCTGTATTTTTTTTCCCACATACTAAAACAAGACACTTGGAAAAGCATAGTAAACCAAAAAAAAAATCCACTATTTTTCTAGTATATCACAGTTTGGGTATTGAAGTCCTATAAAAACAATTTCCACTTACCTTATATAGTCTGGAGTAGCAGGACCTGTTAACAGTGTCCTTCCACATGTTCTGTGTAGCTTACTCACTGAAATACAACTCATGCATTCTGTTCTATAAAAGTCCTTTGAGAGGTGCCAAACATCTCATATTAACACCTGTAGACTAATTTTTACTAAAAATAACCCAAATTCTGTTTAAGTGCCTTTTCTCTAAATCTTGTTTTTATAAAATTATAGGAACATTAGTATCAATGAGACACAGTTATAGGGGTTTAACATCTATCTCCACCATATATTTTATCTGTGATTTAAAAAAGTTATTTCTGGTAGAGCACTAAAGTGCTTAATAGTAATACCACCTCAAAAATAAACTTCCATTATTGTAACCCTAACCAATTTAAAAATCAAAGCTTATTCCAGTTGTTTAGTGCCTCTGATACACAGGAGCCTATCTTTTGAATTGGGTTAAAATGGGACTCACACAGGCACTGAAACTCAAAACATACTCTCAAAGCCAGAATTCTTTCATTCTTTCATGGCTAAGCCTTAAGATTAAAAATGCTAACTGATATTAAGCCCTACATACATAGTTAAGCAATTGGGTTGTCCGAAAAGTCATGATGCATTTTTGCATAGAAACACATAGGGAAAAATTATGCCATGGCTTTTCTGATAACCCAATAAATACACTGTTAGATAAGTTCTGATGTATTAAGCCAAAAACCCTGTATATATTTATTAACATCACTGGCTTATACCTATGTAAAAACACCATACAAAAGTTTAAACCAAAATAAATACAAGTTGATCATTTCAGCAAAAGTAGCTTGTATTGTTTGCTATTAGAGTAAGAAAACTAAAGCCAATGCTGTTATCATCTTTCTGCAAACCTCTAATTTTACATATTGCAAACCTCTAATTGTACATATAAACAAAAAAAGGCTTCAATTTGAAGCCCAAGTACAAGTGACATATAAATGTAAAAACTTAAAAAGTGCCAACATGAGATAATTCAAGTACAATATATGTTAAAAATATATATATATTTATTTCAATTTTTCAGATGCTTCAACTGTTACAGGCCATCATGATTTAAATAAGGGAAAAAACATTTGAGAAAGGACAAGAAACCTTTTGTTTAAAGAATGAAATATAAATTGTTAATTCACTTTAAGAAACAGAAAAGGTCCACAACAACATATTTTTTAAAAAGTTACTGTAATTATTTCTCTTTTGAATATGGCCTGGAAGAATCATTTTTCCCCCAATTTAATGGAGATGGAGATTTATCTCTATCCAAGCTTTGAGCATAAGCAGATAAAAAGTAATTTTCACTTTCTTGAGACTGACTTGATGAAAGGGCATATGGTGTCCCCAAAAATGTCTGATGAGTGAGAACACTGAAATGACTAAACTGATGGGACATATTTAATTGACTGTGATAAACCTGAAAGTTGCTATATGAATCCTGTTCTGCTGAACTGCTGTTCTCTCCTTCAGAGCACACTATATCAACAGAAGTTCTCGCTTCAGAATCAATTTGATAAGTCTTATCTTCTAATAAACTTTTTTGCACGTTAAGAGACGATTGCAACTCAATTTGAGTATTCGTTTTTTGATCTGTTCCACGTGATCCTTTGGTCTCTTTCGCCAATATTTCTGAATGAAAATTGCTGAATACTTCTATATGTGAGATTTCATCCCCTGAATCCAGAGACATATCCTCTTCATCCTTTTCATCGTTTTCTAAAAGAGCTACATTTAAAAACAAAAAGTCCTCCTCTATTGAAATACACAATTTGTTTAAGTTTTAAAATTATACACTACTCACACAATATAATGCGTCAGGGTCTGCAAGTCCACAATCCCTTAAAGCTTGGTCTTCTGCCACAAGTTCATTTAGTCACAACACTCACACTAGGTGTGAATGTCCAGATAATCCGATGCTAAAAGCTTCTGCGAAATGTGTTCACGTTTAATGTTGGGAAATCCCAACTCCCAGCTCCAAAGGGGTTAATGTCAAAACAGCATCTAAAGTTATACGGTAATTCAGTATTTGACAAGACAAATACAAGATAAAATTTTTGACATCTAGCTTCACTGGATTACTAAATTGGTTTTAATGAAAGTTCCATCTCTGCTTTTCATCAAAAACAAAGCTACATCTTTTCATTCTACAGAACACCTGAAACCAAAGCAGAGGCCATCTTACAAAAAAACTAAAGCTATGACATACCTCATTATCTTCTAATGAAATTCTTTTATACATCTGGGAAGATTTACATCCCCATATCCGGTTTCCTATTTTTTTCTTAATATAACCCCCTTGGCTGAAATGGCAGCCAAAAAAGGTTACATATGCTTAGAGTAGACAGAAATGAACAGTCTGTTGTAACAACTTGTACTGACTACCCTATATTAAATGAGCAGATCTTGTGCATGCTTAGCATTAGAATAACTGCTTTGAAGTATTTCTCCTAAGGCTGTTTACACCAAGGTGAGTGACTTCCAATAGGTATTTCATTATTTAATAACAAAGCAAAACCATTCCTTTTTTTCTGTCTGTCTTAAAGTAAACGAAAACTACTGAAAAGTTACCTGACTGCGACTCAAGAGTCTCATTAGCACCAATCAGTGGAAGGTTTTCTTCTGTGATTGAGTTGTGATAACCCACAAGATTTTTAAAGTTCTGCATAAAGTCTTCAGCAGTTGCAACCACTATTCCATTATCTGCATAGCAGGAAACCATCTTGGTATTCTTCTCTTAAGAAAAAAGAAAGTTTTATTTATAAACCACTTGAAAATGTACATGAAAAATAATGGACAAAATCCTTTTGTCCACATTTTCAGAATCATAGCTTAACAAAACTCGCCACAACCCCACAAATCCTTTTATCTACATTCTCCTATCCATAGTAGAATGCTGAAGAGTGCTCTCTTTACCTGTTAAAAAGACAATGTGTCGCTGATGTATGTTCTGAGCTTGAAGTCTGATGAGGCAATCCAATTCTGGAGCTTTTCGAGTTTGCGAGTCACAATTGTGGTATGACAAAATTTCAACCAGATGCTTCTTCTGATAGACATTCAGAAGCGTCAACAGACTCAGAGCTTTAGCATTCAATCTATGGAATTAAGCAGTTCAGTATCTGGATTTATAAAATTGAACCAGATTTAAATAATAATTTCTACTTGAGGCAATGAATAACAACTGCATGGCTTAGCTCACTGATAGGATACGGATGCTTCTTCAGAGGGGAAAAGCAGTAATTGTACAGAGGGTTTCATGACCCAAGGCCTAAGGGGCAGCTACTTACTTAATTTCAGATAAAACCTCATGAAGGACATAAAAGGACAAAAACAAATCTTTCCTCCAAAAAATACCACAATACTGGGGCCAGCAGGTGGCATGATAGTTAAGAGTGCTGGACTCCCACATGGCCAACCATCGTTTGAGTCCTGGACCTGGCAGCTTGCTTTCTCACTTTCTATTTTTCTACCACAAGGCATAGTTCATTAAGTGGCAGAAATTGCCAGCTGTTGTCAGGATGATGAAGGATACTGTTAACTGGACAAGTCTCATTGAAATCCATTACACAGTTAAATCTTGCCCTGTGTCAACTTCAGAGGCTTTGAAGTAGAACAAAGTTTTGAGTTGGCTGAAAGTACTTTAAACAGTTATTTAACTGGAGGCCAGCAGATGGTGTAGTGGTTACGTCATTGGACTCCCACATTGCTGACCATGGTTTGAGTCCTGGACCTGATGGCTTAAGAAGCTCATGCCAGACGTGTACATGCGTGCCCAACATTTGGGAGGGTAGTGAAGACACCGCGGTGCAGCCATCCTCCCTAGGGGATGATTTCTTACTTTCCCTCTCACTCACTTACTCTGGTGAGCATAAGTGCCCTATGGCAAAAACCTTAAAAAAATCTCTTAAAAGTTATTTAAGCCTCAATTTCCAAAAAGTATACTATGGAATGTCAAAAGATATTTGAGAAAATAAAGATGTGGTTTGGGGTCAGCAGGTGGCATGATGATTAAGGTGCTGGACTCACATATGGGCAACCATGATTTGAGTCCCAAACCTGGAGGCTTGAAAATCACACCATCCACATGTGTGCCCAAAATCCCTGGAGGAGAATGGAAGAGAAGGGACTGCGGCATGGCCACCTCCCCCGGGAGGGAGAGGGGCCTTCGCACTTTCCCTCTCTGTCTCTCTCTTCAGTTAGTGCAATGTGCCCTACGGCAAAAAAACAAAAACTAAAGTTGTGGTTTAAGTTTAGGAAATGCTGGTCAACACAAAGTAAAACAAAATATTCTTAACTAGTTTCTCAGGTCCTTTAATGTGTGAATACATTTTATGGACTCTACTAATAGGATACGGGATCTCAGACTCATCTGATCACTGCAGTCGTTCATGAAACCTCTCAAATGACTAGTGCTTTCAGAAATGACTTCCAGCCACCTTAGAAATCACTCATAGATACATAGGTAGAAATGCATGTCCTAAGCACATACCCTCTCTCACGAGGCAGAAATTAACTCTTGTCCAAATATGTGTGACTTTATACTAGATTAGCTACCTCAGGTAGTCTTCAATGGGCAGAGGCTCTGTCCTTGTTGGCATATGCATTTCAGTAACAGTTAAAAATACTGATTATTATTCTGTACACACAAGTAGCAAAGATTAAACCAATCCATTTAACTAGAACTTCTGCCTAAAAGTCCCCTACCTACTAGCTTAAAAACAATCACACTGGGCATGTGTGCATGCATGCCCCAAATCCCATGGGTAGAATGGAGGAGGAATTTTCTCACTGTTCCTCTGTCTCTCCAGTGAGTGCACCTGCCCTATGACAAAAACCTTTAAAAACCAAAACAAAACCAAAAGCAATAGCCATTAAAACAATTATTTTTAAAAAGCTTACCTGCCCAGTTCCTTTAGTTTCTTTTGAAATTTACAGTGGACTTTCCACTGCCACTTTCCCTCTGGAGTACTAAGTTCTTCAAGGAATGTCAAAAAATTTTTAAGGTTCTCTGTCAGAAATAATGAATTTTTAATTCAATAAGTCACTCCAAATCTGAGTTATGGAAAAAGTACTTGTTCATACTATGTAGAAAGACCTACACTTGTGTACTATTTTCATTCCTTCTCTAAGGGAGACAGAGGAGATCTAAATATCCCTAAAGTTCTAAGAGCATAACACCTACTCATAATAAAAGAACATGTTTCTGGCAATAATACCAGAAATTATCTAAGTACAGTAAGACCAGAGTCTTGCGGATTTTTTTCTTTTTTCTTTTTAAAACCAGACTTAGAGGAAATTATTTGTAAATACTAAGAGAATGGGAAAGAAATTAGAGATAATACAGGTTCAGGTAAAAAAAAAAACAGAAATGGGGACTAGTATGTGGCATGATGGTTACATTGCTGTACTCCTACATGGTCAACCATGGTTCAAGTCTCAGACCCGGCAGCTTGAAACTCATGCAGGGTACATGTGCATGCATGCCCAAAATCCCAAGAGGAGAAGGGATTGCAGCATGGCCACCCCACTAGGGGGTCAACTCTCATTTTCTGGCGAGCATACCCACACCCTTATAGCAAAAATCTCAATGACAACAACAAAAAAACCAGAAGTGGAGGCCAGCAGATGGCATAATAGATAAGGCACTGGATTCTTCATATGGTTGACCATGGTTCAAGTCTCAGACTTGGCTGCTTGAAAATCATGTCGGCACATGTGCATGTGTGCCCCCAATCCCTAAAGAATGTAGAAGGAATTACGATGCAGCAATCCCTTCTGGAGGGTGATTTCTCACTCTTCTGTCTCCAGTGAGCACATGCGCCCAATGGTAAAAAACAAACACAAAAACAAAAAAACACTTAAAAGAAGAAAAAGAAATGTCAATGGCCCAGGTGCTGAATTCTCACATGGCCAACTGTGGTTCAAGTCCTTGAAACTCACACCAGGCACATGTGCATGCATGTCCAAAATCCCAGAGGTGGTAGAGGGGTGATTTCTCACTTTCTCTCTGTCTCTCCAGTGAGTGCACACGCTCTATAGCAAAACACCTCTCCAGAAAAAAAATGTAAATAGCCAAATAAATGGAGAAATCATTAAAAAAAAAAAAAAAAGAAAGAAAAGAGAATCACTAGTGTTTGTCTCAGTTTTCACAAAAAACCTAGGGGGAAAAAAGGGGAAGTTACACACTCAAAAGAACGCATAAGCCTTACCAATTGTGACAACCTCTGGATTTAGAATTGATTCATCAGATACAATAAAACCTCCAGATACAAATAATTCATTGTATGTATGATTTTTAACATCATCTAGGCTATCAACACCAGCAAAACTAACACAGGGGAGCTTCTTTAAAGTCACCAAGCCAGGTACCTGTTTAAATATAAAGATAAAGCAAATAAGGAATGGATAAATGAATGAATAGACTTTTATTGTAGGTTGTTATACACTAGAGTCTATCAAAATGCACAACTCGGGAACCAGCAGTTAGTCTAATGGCTATGTCACTGGACTCCCACGTAGTCGACCGCGGTTCGCGTCCCGGACCCGGTGGCTTAAAACTCATGCCGGACGCATGTGCGTGCGTGCTCAAGATCCCGAGAGGAGAATGGAGGAGAAGGGATTGCGATTTCTCGATTTCTGTCTCTTATGTCTCTCTCTGTCTGGCGAGCGCACGCGCCCTGTAGCGAAAACCTCTCCAAAAAAAAAATAAATAAATAAAAAAGCACAACTCATCTATTTAGTGCGTAGTGAAAAACCACATATAAAAATTTAATTCTCAGCATTACTTCCCAATACATAAATCAACATTTATGTACTGGAACTGCTAGAAGACAGGGAGAAGGAGTTCACTAGAGCCCTGATAACAAAAAATACAGAAAACCTTAATTGCAAGCTAGAATAGTCGGGAAAAGTTTCAAAGAGCAGTAGGACTAGACATAGGCTCCTAAGACTAAACAGTATCTCTAAGAGAAAGGGGGTCAGGTTTGACAAGGAAAGGAACACAAGTAAGTATTGCCTAGGACATATGAGAACATAAAGTAAGTCAGCAGATCCGCTGGCATTGGAGCAGTCTGTACTTTGAGTCTTAAACTATTGAGTAATAGGGAAGATCTGTGATATAGATATTTAACATGTCACAGATCCACAGAATTGAAACTCAAGGACCAGCAGTTAGCGTAATGGCTATGTCGCTGGACTCCCATGTAGTTGACCGCAGTTCAAGTCCTGGACCCGGTGGCTTAAACTCACGCCAGGCACGTGTGCGTGCATGCCCAAGATCCTGAGAGGAGAATGGAGAAGGGAGAAGGGATTGCAGTGTGGTCATCCCCCCTGGGGGGTGATTTCTCGCTTTCTGTCTCCCTGTCTCTCTCTCTGTCTGGCGAGTGCATGCGCCCTATAGCCAAAACCTCTCCAAAAAAAAAAAAAAGAATTGAAACTCAGAAGCTGATTCATGGAATAGTACTTGAGGTTTTACCTTCTCTAAAGCTTATTTTAAAAACAAAGTAAGATGTGGGGTCAGCAGTTGGAGTAGGGACTATGTCACTGGACTCCCATGTAGTTGACTGCGGTTCGAGTTCCGGACTCAGTGGCTTAAACTCACACCAGGTGCGTGCGTGCCCAATATCCCGAGAGGAGAATGAAGGAGAAGGGATTGTGGCGTGGCCATCCCCCCTGGGGGGTGATTTCTCACTTTCTGTCTGTTTCTCTCTTTCTGGATAGGGCAGCGCCCTATACCAAAAACCTCTCAAAAAACAAACAAAAAGATTTAAAAATAAGGAAATTTAAAAAACCAAAATTAATAAATTTGACTTAACAATTTACCTTGTGAATGAAACCTGCAATGTCTTCATTTTGAATAATAATCAACAGTTTATCTAATTCTGATCTTCGTTCCAAAAACTGTTCTGGATGACATTCTGTATTGCCTAATTTGATAAGATATTCCTGTTAAAAATAAATAACTATATCAACATTAAAAAGCATTTTAAGCAAACATCAATCTAAATGTAAAGTTAAACTACTATGATAAATTTACACTCTAAGAAACCAGAGATCTCAAATCCATGCCTCTACTGCAGAAGGATCTGAAGGTCACAGATTCACCACTGTCACAATGTTTCAATGCCTTACAAATCAAAGCTGAGAAAATGACAGTGGGGGGGAGGGTCACAAAAAGAAACAGGAACCATGAGATTAGACCAGGTTCCTAACCCTGGCCTGTTAGTCATTGTGGATAACCCAGAGTCCAAATATTAATCACATCCTTAGCTGCATTTTCCTTTCCTTTCTAAGCAGGCCCTTGGTCATTTATCACTGGAATGTCCTTCAGAGTTACAAAGCATTGTGATGACCACTGTAGCTCATTTGATTCATATAGATCTTTTTGCATGTACAACAGCATCCACATCATGATTAGCCATTTCTATCACATTTACATCTTGAGGTGAGGCAGACTCCCATCTAACATTCCCCTCCATGTTGGGGACATGGACCTTTCTTTTATAGGACACAGATAGTAGGCTATACAGAGTTCCCTTTGCCCTGTGCTGGTAGAGTCCTGAACCCCAAGGCTAACTGCAGGATCCTAAAGGTCACATTCCTCATCTCACACATACAAGTGATCAATCTACACACCAGAGTGTCACAGTCCTTTTACAAACAGGGTAGAGGCGGCAGAATTGTGCTCAGCACAGTATGGTGCCCAATCTAGTCCCTCCTTCAGCCCCAGACCTACATGCAGCTTTGCTCCAGGGAGGACTGTGCTTTGGAAATGTTGCTGGGTGTGGGGAAAAGTTGAGAAGACTGATGTTCAATCATATAGGGCAAAGCTGCAATCAGGGCATTCCTACTAAATTTTGGGTATCATCCCAAAAAATCCTAATTGGTAAGGAAAACAACACGAGTGAGTAAGTACTACGATTCCTGTTTCATTGCTATGCACTCTTATGTCCTCACTGGGTATATATCACACGAAAGCTGCTGACATCCGAGATCCCCAAACTGACAAAAGACTTAGGGGATGTCAGCAGAACCCAGTCTCTGAGCCACTCTACTCTATAAACCATTTATTTATAGTCTCTTTGCTTCCTCTAACAGAAGAGAAACTACTTGTGATAAGTAAATCCTATCAATGGGAGTACCCTAAGCATTCCCTTATGGAATTAAAATCTAATTGGTTGGTAGTAAACCACTTGTATAACTGTTGCAATGTCTTATTATTTATTACCAGTGGTTTTACTTATCTATGGCTATATACAACTACATGAAATGTTATTCTGCCCCACAGCTTTGGTAGGAAAAAATATACTTAACATTCTTTATACCAATCATGAAGAATGGGGAAACCTTTTAAGATCTTAAGTTTTTTGATCAATATGAGCTGAAGGGAAACATGAAATGGCCACAGTGTCAAGAAATGCCAAGAGTACACCATTAAGCCACCTTGACTGATAAAACCACTGAGGTAAATACTGGAAACTTACTTTACCTCTTTGTATTCCTCCCACTTCATTAAGAACCCAATTAGGGGACCAGGAGATGGCGTAATGGTTACGTTGCTGAACTCCCATGTAGTTGACTGAGGATCAAGTCCTAAACCAAGTGACTTAACACTCATGATCCCAAGAGGAGAATGGAGAAGGAACTGTGGCATAATTGTCGCACGATTTCTTGCTTTCTGTCTGTCTCTCCAGTGAGTGCATGCACCCTGCAGCGAAATCTTTCTCAAACAAACCAATTAAACATTTAAACCTTTTTTTTGTTTTGGAGAGGTTTTTGCTATAGGGCATGTGCACTCGCCAGACAGACAGAGACAGACAGTGAGACAGAAAGCGAGAAATCACGCCCCAGGGGGGATGGTCACGCCACAATCCCTTCTCCTCCATTCTCCTCTTGGGATCTTGGGCACACACGCACATGCACCTGGCCTGAGTTTTAAGCTACCAGGTCCGGGACGCGAACTGTGGTTGACTACATGGGAGTCCAGCGACATAGCCGTTATGTTAACTGCTGGTTCCATATTTAAACCTTTTGAATCAATGGTTTCTAAATATTTTCAGTATGTGTACGTACCTCTCTTTTTGTTTTTTTTTGAGAGTTTATTTTTTTCTTTTCGTTTGTTACAGGGCATGTGCGCTCATCAGAAAGACAGAGAAATACAGAGAGACAGAAAGAGAGAAATCAGCCACTAGGGGATGGCCACGCCGGCAATCCCTTCCCCTCCATTCTCTTCCCGGGCTCTTGGGCACATGTGCCCGGCGAGTTTAAGCCACAAGGTCCAGGACTCAAACCATGGTCAACTACATGGGAGTCCAGTGACATAACCATTATGCTAACTTCTAGTCCCTGTGTAAGTACTCTTTAAAAATGATGTATTAGGGGCTGGGAGGTGGTGTGGTGATTAAGGTGTTAGACTCCCATATGGCTGATTGCAGTTCAAGTTCCAGACCTGGTAGCTTGCTCTCTCACTCACCTTCTAAAAGCTGTCCTTCTGTCTTTCTCTGGTCAAATTAAAATATGATAGTAATAATAACAACAATAATAAATAAAATACATAAAAATGACATATTAGGTAATAGGGGTCAACAGGTGGTGTGGTTAGGGTGCTAGACTCCCCACATGGCCAACCGTGGTTTGATTTCGAGATCCAGTGGCTTGAAAACCATGTTGGGTGCATGTATGCACATGCCCAAAATCCTCAGAGCAAAATGGAGAAGGGACTGTGAGGTGTGACCATACCCCCTGGGGACAATTACTAACTTTGTCTCTGGCAAGCGCACAACCTTTAGCAAAATCCTTAAAAATATAAAACAAAACAAAAAATACATTATTATACAAGATTTTAAATTCTGAGCTATTTAGATCACAGATACTGAATCTAGTTGAAATGATTAGTCTTTTATTCTATCTTGAATTACCAAATAATGTAATTATATGGTCAATATTTAAAACAAAATAAATCCACTAAGAGGTCAGAACAAGACGAAGTCACATAGCATTACTATTACCTTCTTACTTAGTTACCTTTATTTCTTTACAGAGCATACTTTCTTCTTCTTCATGAATATAAAATTTCACAGTATTTTTCTGGACATCTTTCATGATTTTAACCAAACTATTAAATACTTCAGGTTCTAATTGGCTTATAAAATTGGAAAGAGCTGGTTGGGCAGAAATGTTTACATCACCAGGTGATTTTGTTTCTTTTTCTCCTGGTTCCTGGGGAACATCACCAGGTAGAGTAGGATCCAAAGTCACCATGGAGGCATGGTGTGGCTGGTTCATTTCTACTTCAGTCAGACCCAGAGCTGAAGAGGAATGCTGCTCATTAGAGTTGGTATCTTTCAAAGAGTCACTAGAGAGTGGCCCAAGATGTCTACTGTCCAGGTCACTTGAAGAACGTGGTGTGACATTTGTTCCCAGAGGACTGGATGTTATCTTAGTACCCGAATCACTAGGACTGACTGCGGGCTGATTCCTCCCCTTAGCTGATGCTTTAATAATGACAGTATTTAGTTTCTCATGTAAACCATCTACAAACTCTTGTACACCAGCTTTAGAAGAATTACAATACACGAACTCAGAAAGCCGTTTTATCTTCTCTTGTGTTGAAAAGATGGGTGCGGAAATTCTACTGACATAAGAAACATTCTTTTGCTTCAAAATCTCTTCTATCTTCCTAGAAAAGAGATGGTACTCTCCTAACACTGTTCTTTCTGTGGCTTCACTCACTGCAGGCGGCTCTGCGGCTGGCATACACTGTTCCTCCACTGTTACCACCTGACCTGTCAACACGTCCTCCTCAGGGGTACCCTTTAGTGTGTCTGTAAATGGAGAGGATGGAAACTGGTGATCAGAACTTCTCTGTCTACTTATTACCCGGGGATCATTAGGGAAGGCTTTCTGTGGTGGCAGACACACTAGTTGTTCTTCTGGTGATTTCATACCTATACAGGAAGAGTTCATTATATTAACAGCAATCCAAAGAGATTAACATCTGAAAACATAAACTTTTAAATCATGAAAAAAAGAAGGAAAGGTTGAGTACATATTCAAACTCATTACAAATGGGAAGGTAAAATGAAAACCTCAAATAATGGTATAAACCTGGTTTCTGTGTGCCTTACTTTTCTGGCTGGTCTGTGGATCTCAATAGCTAGAGCAACAAACTTGATTACTATTTTCATTGCTTCATTTTGAAGTGTTCAAACAAAGGCCAATTTGACATTAATACAAATCAATTTATTTGTGTATTTTTATTTCCCTACCATTCTTTAGATCTGGCTTTCACAGACATGTAATCGAGGAGCTGGCAGATGATGTGGTGGTTAGTGGGCTAGACTCCCATATAGCCAATCACAGTTTGGGTCCCAGACCTGGTGACTTGCTTTCTCACTTTCTCTCCCTCTGGTCAAAATTAAATAAATAACTCTTAAAAAAAAAAAAAAAAAGTCACACCAGGCACATGCATGTGTGTGCCCAAAATTTCAAGAAACTGGAGGAGAAAGGATTGAGGTATGGCCATCCCCCTGAGGGGTGATCTATCACTTTCTCTCTCTCTGGAGAACACACATATCTTACACCAACCACAAAAAACTTTTAAAATATATATATATTTTTAAGATTATAAATAGTAAGCTTAAAAAATAAGTGGTTTCATGTCTTGGCTTTTTTAATTTAAAAGAAATTTCAAGATTGTTTCATAGGCTATCTCAAAAAAAGAAATTAAGGACCAGCAGGTGGCGTGGTGGTTAAGGTGCTGGGCACTCCCACATGGATGACCACGGTTCAAGTTCCGGACCTGGCAGCTTGCTTTCTCAGTGACTTCTTTGAACATACTTTATAGTAAAAACATGTGACACAACTCAATTAATTATTAAAATACAAATATGGTATCACCCAAAATTTCGGTAATTAACAAAACCTAAGTCAATGCCCTATTGATCAAAAACCAGAAATTCAAGTTCGGAAAAAGGGCACACTGGGAGGAAAAGCAAAATGAGCTTTCTTACCTGGTGTTTGTTTCTCACCATGTTTCCCCAGCTGGTCTTCTGGACTTCTTGCATTCCCTCCTGAGGGAAAGCATCCATTAGATTTGTCGTCTCATTTAGAAATCAGTGATAGCTCTCAGACAACTCTGAATTCTAACAAATATAAGTACTCCTCCTATAACCTAAAATAATTCTTAAGTTATTCAGAAATAAGCAGGTGCTTCCCTTTTTATTCCAGTAGTGAATGGATGGATTATCAACACCTAGTACTTGATTCATATGGTGAGAGCCATATGAAGGCAGAGTATCTAGGTGTCTAAATGGGGAAGAGTTTAGGATAATCACATAGTATCAGCTACTTCCTTATCCTGTTTCTCCTACTCAGGCTGATGTCTCTAGCTTGTAAAAGTACCAGTTCTCTCTCAATCACTCTAGGCTTCCAGCTGTCTCAAGTACATACTAAGTACAGAACAGTGCTGACGTGCAGAGAAGCATCAATTTCAGAAATTCTTTTCAAAGTCCTTGGAGATCTCAGTAAGTTCTAGGTCACAAGCCAGTACTTTTAGCAAAAAGTTGCTTGTTTTATCTTTTTAAAGACTAAAGGTCCAGGAATGGAAAAGATGTGCCATCCAAAAATGTTTAGCTAGCAAAGATGAATAAGAGCTTGGCATATGAAGGATACGTATTTGTGTGTTTGTATAGAAAATTAGAATTTTGCGAAGTAATCTTTCAACATTTGCTAAACTACTCTTGCCCCATGGGCCAAGAAGATTTCTAAGGATATTGCACGTGATCATTTCAGGCCATTCTCAAAGATGATCTTCATTTGTTTAAGATAATCCAATATTAAGAGATGGAATTTCTCCCAAATTGATAAACCTCAACATGACATGATCATTTATTAGACAACAGTATGTTATAGTGAAGTTTACTAAGTTGAGAAAACAGCATTTAACTGGTGGCCCAATGTGCATCATTTTACTTCTCTCTGTATGTAGCTTGCCTTATTAAAAATTCAGTTTCTGCCAACAACTTTCCTTTGGAAGTCTACATACTAAATGCCATATAGAGACTGTGTCTTAAGTCCCTCTTTTTATTTTATTTATTATTATTATTTTTTTTTTGCTATAGGGCGCGTTCGCTCGCCAGACAGACGGAGACAGAGAGACAGAAAGTGAGAAATCACCCCCCAGGGGGATGGCCACACAATTCCTTCTCCTCCATTCTCCTCTCGGGATCTTGGGCATGCACGCACACACACCCGGCTTGAGTTTAAGCTACTGGGTCCGGGACGCAAACCGCGCGGTCAACTACGTGGGAGTCCAGCGACCTAGCTATGACGCTAACTGCTGGTCCCATAAAGTCCCTCTTTTTTAAAAAAATAATTTTTAGTGAAGTTTTTGCTATAGTTTTTGTATGTGCTTGCTGGAGAAACAGACACACAGAAAAAGTGTGAAATCACTCCCCAGGGTAGATGGCCATGCCACAATCCCTTCTCTTCTATTCTCCTCTTGGGATTTTGGGAATGTACATATACATGCCTGTGTGATCTTCAAGCTGCTGGGTATGGTACTTGAATTGTAATTGGCAATGTGGAAGTCCAATGCCTTTACCTCCATGCCACCTGTTGGCCCCTAAATCCCTCCTTTTAATAAACCCTTTTATAGGGGCCAACAGGTGGTATAGTGGCTAAGGCTCTGGGCTCTCACATGGCCAATCATGGTTCAAGTCCTGAACCTGGCAACTTGCTTTCTCACTTTAGTTCTCTCCCCCACTCTGTTTCTGTCTCTGGTGAGGGCACATGCCCTACAGAAAATTAAATAAATTATTCTTTAAAAAACCTTTTACAAATATTTGTTGACACTAAGAACCAGCAATGCTTGGTGATAAACATTATATTGGTTGAAATATGATACTGAAGAATGTCAGAGCCAACTAAGATGAAGTACCTAGTGGCCCGAGAGTGGAATCTAGAAAACATGAAATCCTTCAGGAAGCTGGTTCCTAAGACAAACAAAAGCAAACTGAAGTCCTAGTTAGAATACTCGTTCTTACCTGTAATTGGAATCAGCTTCCAATGTATTTCCGTCTCTTCAACATCATTTGATTTTGATTGCTGTTTACAGAATCCATGTTCAATAGGAACAGTGGGACACAAACTGCAATCCTCAAAATTATTCACGCTAATTAAATTTGGATCCTAATAAAATAAAAGATACATTCAACAACTTTTTAAAAATGAATTTAATGTCAAGAATAAACTATTTTCAGGACCAGCAGTTAGCATAATGGCTATGTCGCTGGACTCCGACGTAGTTGACCGTAGTTCAAGTCCTGGACCCGGTGGCTTAAATTCATGGAGGGCACGTGTACGTGTGTGCCCAAGATCCCGAGAGGAGAATGGAGGAGAAGGGATTGCGGTGTGGCCACCCCACGCCGGGGGGGGGGATTTCTCGCTTTCTATTTCTCTGTCTGTCTCTGTCTGTCTGGTGAGCACACGCACCCTCTCTGTCTGTCTGGTGAGCACATGTGCCCTATAGCAAAAACCTCTCCAAGATAAAAAAGAAAAAACTATTTTCACAGCAAGTCCACAAGCTTTAAACAGTATGCACAGTCAACACAGTAAAGTTATTACTCTAGTATCAAAAATTAAGACATGATTTTTCACCTCAAAACATAATTTTGAAATTAATTTAGAGCACATACTGGTAAATACTTTCAGTAAAGCACTTGCCAGTAAATATTTCATAGTTTATGGGCTACATACACAATTCTGCCATTATAGTGCAAAACCAGCCAGAGGCAATACATAAATGATTGGGCATAGCTGTGTTGCAATAAGTTTTAGGTAAAAAAACAACAGGGTAGGTTTGGACCACACCCTGATCAACTCAATTCAGAGTACTAAATACACTGGGAAATAATTATTACAGGTTAGTTGTCTAGTGCCTATCTTACATACCTCCACCTATAACCTGAAATAAATAATCCAAACTACATGGAGAAAGGTTAGAGACATGTATATTTATTCCAAGGCAGGGAAAAGAAAATGAAGAAAAGAGTAAACTGGAAACAGGTGTTTAGCAATATCATCATGGTATTGCTCCCTAGAAACGGAGCCCCTTTATGGGGAAGACAAGGCTACTTCTCAGCTAGAACTCAACACACTAAGTACATATCATAAATAAACTAGATGCCCTAATAAGCAAGGCTGAGAGTTATTTCAGAGAGAATTCTATAGGCCACTAATTTTCTGCTCCCATTTGCATGAAAAATATGAAGAATTGGGACCAGTAGTTAGCGTAATGGCTATGTTGCTGGACTCCCACATAGACCGCGGTTCGCATCCCGGACCCGGTGGCTTAAAACTCAAGCCAGGTGCGTGTGTGTGCGTGCCCAAGATCCTGAGAGGAGAATGGAGAAGGGATTGCGGCGTGGCCATCCCCCCTGGGGGGTGATTTCTCGCTTTCTGTCTGTCTGTCTCTGTCTGGCGAGCACACATGCCCTATACCAAAAACCTCTCCAAAAAAAAAAAAGAGAAAAATATGAAGAATCTGACCTTGTTACACCTGTGCACTGAGTCTGGTGGCCCCATCTCTGCACTGTGTCTGCCAGCTGAAAGCCAATGCTCTGAGGATTTAATTTTCTTTTCAAACAGTATGGAATTAACACCCAATAAGCCATTCTGATTAACTTTCCAGCCTTAACTTTCAAACCGGTACCTTAAATTATGAAGTTTATATGTGGGAAGGAAAACAATTACTTTGGCATTTATCTCTTTTTATGTTCTTTAGTTTTTGCCATAAGGCACATGTACTCGCAGGAGAGACAGAAAGAGAGGCAAAGCAATCAATCACCTCCCAGAGGGATAGCCATGCCACAATCCCTTCTCCATTCTCCTCTTGGGACTTTGGAGATGGCACATACACGCACCCAGTATGAATTTCATGCCACCAGATCCAGGACTCAACCCAGAGAGTAGGCAACGTAGAATGCAGCTGCCTTAACCTCCATGCTACCTGCCGGCCCAATTTCTCTTTTTAATAAGGAATAACTTAGAAGTGCCATCCTGCCACAGACATATTTACTCAAAAGTATCATTTTCTTAAATGAAAAACCATTCCTTAAGGCATGCCCACATCATCTCTTTCACACACACACAAACACACACACACTCAAAAGCAAATCAAAATATCCAAAAGACACACTTACTTCTTTCAAATGTAGCTTGAGGTCAGCACCTACTTCATTAGTAGAAACAGCAACAGAATACTTTAAAGATGCTGGATTGACTTCAAGCAATGGAACCTGAGTCCCCTTAAAGTGTGCATTTTCAATTTTTACACAAGTAGGATGTTCATATTCTTTCTTATCTGGGGTAGAGTTCAACTCATACTCATGCTGTTGCCTCAGCTCTTCATAGGCATCCTCAGTACTCATCCCTAAGGCTTTGTTCACCGTGTCTGTGAGGGATGCATCAGAATGGCGTGCATTTGCTAGTGTTTCTGAGAGCCAATTAAACAGTGTGTGGATGTCGGCCATGCCAGAGTTACAGCTGTCCTGCTGCTGCAGTCTTAGGTCAGCCTCATGCCCAAGGGAGCCAACAGGCAGTGAAGACTCTGAGAAAAAAAAGAGAAGCACCTTTTATAGGGAAGTTTGAAACCCAGCATAAAAAAGTTTTAAATCGAATACATCTAAAATATTATCATAGCACGTTTACAGGCAGCAACTTAATTGGCTTAGATTTTATAAATATACTCATCTCTGAATTTAGATATTCTACAACTTTATACACAAATCAAGATTCCTATCAAGTAAAATTTTCATAATTTAAGCTGTCTGTTAAAAGAAAAATTATCTTTGGGCCAGCAGGTGCTATGGCAGTTTTGACGCTGGACTCACACACGGCTAACCACAGTTCAGCTCTCAGACCTGGTGGCTTGCTTTCTGACTTTCCCCACTTCTCTCTCTCTGGTCAAATTAAAAAACCAAAATAAAAAAATAGCAAATAAAGTTAAATAAATTTTTTAAAAAGGAATTACTAAAAGAAAAATGATCTCATGTAAGTTGCAAACATAGAAAATAGATATTAATAATCATACTGGAGTTAGCATAAAACTCTACCATCAAAAATCACAATCAACCAGGTACTTGACAATACATAAATATCTGCACATGCTATTTTATTAATTGCAAGGCTATGCAAATTACACTCAAATCTGTTTTTTAAAGAATTATTTAATTTTATTTATTCTTATCTATTTTTTTTTTAACTTGACAGAGAGACAAAGTGAGAGAAAATGAGAAGGCAAGCCGCCAGGCCCAGGATTCAAACCACGGTCGGCTATGTGGGAGTCTAGCCTCCTGCAGACCCTACTCAAATCTACCTTAAAAAGTCACAACCCAAGGCCAGTAGGTGGTATGGTGGTTAAAGCACTAGACTCCAGCATTGCTGGCCCTAGTCTAAGTCCTAGACCCAGAGGCTTTGCCCAAAATCCCAGGGGGAAAAAGGAGAAGGGATTATTATGTGGCATCCTCTGGGGCGGTGATTTCTCACTTTCCCTCTCTGTCTTCCTGGTGCGCAAGCGTCCTATGGTAAAAGCTTAAAAACAAAACAAAAAATTCAACTTAATTTTTACCCCCAGTTTGCTATGTGCCACATGCACTCATGAGAGAGAGGGGCAAAGTAAGAAATCATCCCAATGGGCATCCCGCAATCCCTTTCTCTTCCATTCTCCTCTCAGGATTTTGGGCGCGTGTACACACACACACCAGGCAAAATTTTCAAGGTACTGGGGCCAGGATTCGAACTGCACAGCCAGCCATGTAGGACTCACCAGCCTTTACCACCATGCTGGCCCATGATTCAATTTTTAATCTCCTCCATACTAATTATATTTTCTCTTTAAGGAATTGGCTGACATTCTTAAAATCTAAGCCTTATCTTGAATGACAAGATTACTTAAATTCCTTGGGAACCAGCAGTTATTGTATTGGCTATGTCGCTGGACTCCCACATAGTCGACTGCGGTTCGCATCCCGGACCCGGTGGCTTAAAACTCACGCCGGGCGCGTGTGCGTGCGTGCCCAAGATCCCAAGAGGAGAATGGAGAAGGGATTGCGGTGTGACCATCCCCCCTGGGGGGTGATTTCTCGCTTTCTGTCTCTATGTCTCTCTCTGTCTGGCAAGCGCACGCGCCCTATAGCGAAAATCTCTCCCCCCCAAAAAAAAAAAAAAAACCATCCTGGGGCCAGCAGGTGGCATGGTTAAGACACTAGATTCCCAAATAGCTGACCCCAGTTTGAGTCCCAGACCCAGCAGCCTGAAAATCACTGGACACATGTGCACCCAAAAATTCCAGAAGGAATTGTGGAAGAGATTCTCCCCCACTGTCTGTGTCTCTCTCCAGCAAGTTACTATGGGGCAGGGAGCAGGTTGGATAACAGAGCATACAATAATTCTATTTATATGAAATTATAGAGTAGGAAAAAAATATCCTACAGAGACAAAAAGCAGATCAGTACTAAGGCAGGAAGAGACAAATTACGAAGGGCACAAGAAGGCCTCTTTTGGAGTAATAAAAATGTTCTATATGTTGGAGTGATTATACAGCTGTTGTAACTCATCAAACTATGCACTTAAAATGGGAAAACTGTATACAGATTACACCTCAATGAAGTCGAAGAAAATTAAAAGCGATGGTAGGGTTAAGCAGTTACAGCATGAGTTTACCACCAAATCAATATCAGTGTCCTAAAAGATAAATCCAACCTTGAAATCTTTCAAAATGTGTAAAATGACTAAAAGAAATAAGAGAGATCTAGAAATAAAGTATGAAAATCACAAGTTATTCTTTTTTTTTTTTTTTTTTTAGTTTGTTGTAGGACGATAAGACAGATAGAGGAAAAGTGAGAAATCACCCAAGAAGATGGCCACATTGCAATCCCTTTTCCTCCAGTCTCTTGGGATTTGGGGCACACGTGCATGTACATATGCCCAGCGTCAACTTCAAGCCACTGAGTTCAGAACTCTACCTGAAGAGTTGGCTGCGTGGGATCTAGCCACCTTAACTTCCATACCACCTGCTAGCCCAACAGTCACAGGTTCTAGTTTAACCTCTCTACACTTCTCCCACATTCCTCTACTCCTCCCTCTGATCTATGGTAATTAGCATGGGTTTCCCACCATTTCAATTGCTGATAAAGCTAGATTTTCAACTATAAGAATTTAGGCCAGCAGGTGGCATGGTGGTTAAGGGACTCCCACATGGCCGAATGCAGTTCAAGTCCCAGACCTGGAGGCTTGCTTTTTCACTTTTTATCTCTCTCTCTCTGCCCCTCTCTGATGAAATTAAAAATAAGTGAATAAAGTTAAATAAAATAATTCTTAAAAAAAAAAAAAAGAATTTATTAAGCATACTAACTAGTGAGAGACCAGCAGTTGGCGTAATGGCTATGTCGCTGGACTCCCATGTAGTCGACCGTGGTTCAAGTCCCAGACCCGGTGGCTTAAAACTCATGCCGGGCACGTGTGCGTGCGGGCCCAAGATCCCGAGAGAAAAATGGAGAAGGGACTGCGGTGTGGCCATCCCCCCAGGGGGTGATTTCTCGCTTTCTGTCTCTGTCTCTGTCTTTCTGGTGAGCATACTAGCCCTATAGCAAAAAAAAATCTCCCCCTCCCCCCCCAAAAAAAACATACCAACTAGTCAATTATCAACTAAAATAGTACCAAAAAGGATGTAGTCATGAGCTACACTGAGAACATTTTGGGGGACCAGCAGTTTGCGTAATGGCTGGGTCGCTGGACTCCCATGTAGTTGACCACGGTTCAAGTCCTGGACACGGTGGCTTAAACTCACACTGGGTACATGTGCCCAAGATCCTGAGAGGAGAATGGAGGAGAAAGGATTACAGCGTGGCCATCCCCCCTGGGGAGTGATTTCTCACTGTCTCTCTGGTAAGTGCATGCGCCCTATAGCAAAAACCTCTCCAAAAGAAGAAAAAGAAAAAGAACATTTTGGTCATGAACAGAGGACATACACATCAGTGGCCTCACATGATTACAATGGGCTAAGCTCCACAGCCTCAGTGTGTAGTGGGCTGCACCACCTCAGTTTCTGTAAGTACATTCTATCAGAACATATCCCAGTCATTACACGATGCATGATTGTATCTTACTTACTGAATGCCTATTATGTACTCAGTGCTAAAATATACCACAGTTTAGGAACAATGCTTTGGAGTCAGCAAGAACTAAGTCAAACGTGGATTCTACAACTAACTACATAACTTACGTAAAGTTATTTAAACTTATCTAAGAAGCTTATCTCATTTGTAATATGAGAATAATGCCTACCACTCAAAAACTAAACGAGTCCACACATATAAGGCACATGAAACTCTCAAGACACAGGTTAACAGTGTAAGACTGTATGTGGACGTAAGCAAGCATGAGATCACAAATCTAGTATAACTTAAGAAGATAGAAATCAAAGAACAGAACAGCTGAGAACGGATATGAACTAGAAAGACATAAAACTTGAGAGAAAAGGAGTTGCTTCAGGGGAAAAAAAAAATGACCATGCCGGGACCAGCAGTTAGCGTAATGCCTATGTCGCTGGACTCCCACGTAGTCGACCGTGGTTCAAGTCCTGGACCGGAGGCTTAAACTCACGCCAGGTGTGTGTGCGTGTGTGCCCAAGATCCCGAGAGAAGAATGGAGAAGGGATTGCGGCGTGACCATCCGTGATTTCTCGCTTTCTGTCTCTCTGACTCTGTCTGGTGAGTGCACGGTGCCCTATAGCAAAAACCTCTCCAGACTATGCCATATCCTAGGGAGACGCAAGTCTTAACCAATCAAATCAGCATGTGACAGAGTAGCTGGATAGGGACCAATCTATAACAAAGCTTTTTTTCTTTTTTTGAGAGATTTTTGGAATAGAGCATGTTTCCTCGCTGGAAAGACACAGAGACAGAAAGCGAAAAATCAGCCCCCCCCAGGGAGGATGGCCACACCATGATCCCTTCTCTTCCTCTCTCCTCTCAGGATTTTGGGCATGCATGCACACATGCCCAGCGTGACTTTTAAACCACCTGGCCTGGGACTCGCACCATGGTCAACTACATGGGAGTCCAGCGACATAACCATTGTGCCACCTGCTGGACCCTGTAACAAAGCTTTGAAAGGCAAGTGAAGAAGGTAATATTAGTAGCAATTAGCAAAGCAATATTGGGAAGAACATGACATAGAAATGAGTAAAAGACAGTAAAAACCCAGAAAGGGCCACCAAGGAGATAATATGGACGAGGATGAGAGACACAAGGGTTAAATAAAAAAAAACTCTGATGAACGTTATTGCACAGAATAGCACTGCCAAACAGAACTCTCTGCAATGAGTGACATGTTTTCTGTCAGTACTATCCAATACAGTGATGCAGCTGGTGAAATGCATTCTTTCACTTCAGTTAATTTAAACTTAAACTTCAGCATGTATGTGCATGTCCCAAATCTCAACAAAATGGAGAGATGGAAGAGAAGGGACTGCCTCATGACTATACCTTTTTGGGGGCTGCTTTCTTCCCCTCAAGTTCCCCAACCCCAACCAGCAAAAGCATGCACTCTGCAATGGGAGAGAGAGGGAGGGGAAGAATGAAAGAAAAAGAAGGAAGGAATGACAGCAGGGAGGGTGGGAAGAAGGAAAGAAATAGTCAAAGATATTCCTGGATTCCTGGGGTAGAAAAGAGTACATATAAATGTCCAAGAAGTTTTATCTGTAAAGCATAGAAGGGTCTTCTCATTAAGCAACAACCTAAAAGAATCTAATATTCTTATGTTGTATTTCCTCAACTGTAAAGATATAGAAATATAAAAGGACAAGCATGAGGCAGCATGTGGCATGGTGATTAGGGCAGCTAGATCCCACATGGTTGACAATGTGGTTTGAGTCCCAGACCTAATAGCTTGGACAAAATGCAGGGTGTGTTTGTGTGTATGCCCAAAATCCCTGAGGGGAGAGAATGTAGAAATCCAAGTACCAGGAGAGAAACTGGCAAGTGTTTTCTATATAGGACCAGAAGATAAATATTTAAGGCTTTGTGAGCCATAGTCTCTGTCCCAACTTTGCGGAAAGAGTTACACACAAAAAAATAAATGGGCATTGCTACATTCTTATCTAACTTGCTTTCCAAAATCAGGGAACAGATTGGATTTAGCCCTAAAAGTTGCAAACTTCTGTACTATGGGAAAGAACAGAACTACTGTACTACATTTCTGGCTATCAGAAAAGCAACCTGATATTTTACCTTCATACAGATGGCAATTTTCAGATAAATTACTGGTTTTGGCGAGTTTTCTCTTATTTTCAGGTAGATCCTCAAGCTTCCTCTTCAAGATAGTTTTGCTTCTTGTATCTTCTGTGTCTGAGTCCCCACCCACATTCTTTTTCCTACACTGAATTAGATTAATCAATTCCTTGACTCTATCTTTATCATAATCCAAAGAATGAGATGACTTTTGCTTTCCAGGTAAAATAGTTTCACCCCTGGAATTATTCCGTTTTCCAAATTTCAATTTTGTACCATTCATTTCTTCTTCTTGACCTTCATAATCTGAAAGTGGACTAAACTGCTGAAGTTTTCTATTTTCTTCAAATAGCTCTTTTAATTTACAAAGAGGTAACTGATACATTTCAGGCCGAAAAATATAGGTGCGCAAACAATTATCAATATGGGATTTCTTTTTTGGAGCTGAGTATAAGAATTTTTTATCATCTAATCGTGAATCATATGGAAACATGATAAATTCTCGTTTACCTGAACCAAAACCTCGCTTAAAAAATTCACTTACATATTTTTCAACAACAGAATGAAAATTTATACTGTTTATATTTTTGAATTCCTTTCGACATCGAATCAAAGCAAACTGTAAAAACTGAGCTATTTTTAATACATCTGGCATGCTCTCATGCCTCTCTTGTGGTGTTGCACTAATTGACCCTTTTCGTGCTGTAAATAAACAAACAAAAAAACCGTATTAGCAATCAAACAAAATACAGATGTACTTATCACCAAAGCATAACATCTATGCAATAATGTATACCTTAATACATGTATACATACTGTTGTGTATCTAGATGAACAACATACTTGTAAATTGATTCGCCTAAACCACCCAATAAGAAACTAAAAACAATTAAAGAGCAGAACATACTTTTAAAGGGAAAAACACCCATTCATTGAAAACAAACTTTATTCCCTACTGTCTCTAGGCAATTCAAATGATTAAAAAAAAAGTACAACATGTCAAGATCTGAGACTCTAAACAAGACAGTCTTGCATAGGATAGCAATGCTACCCCTTCCCCTCCTATTATAAAGTAGCAACTTCATTTCCCATGACTTCTAGTTCCCATAAGCAGATAGGCAGGCAACGAGTGGCCACAATTAAAAAGTGATGCTTAATTCAACTGCGAAACCTATTAATGAGAATTTTTACCCTAATATACTATTAAATGTGTGGTTATGGGGCTAGCAAGTAGGGTAGTGATAAAGGCACTGGATCCCATATGGTTGGCAGCTTGAGAAGCACATCAAGGGTCTAGGGAGGAGAATGGAGAAGGGAGGACGGTGCGGCCATCCCTCTGGGGGGTTATTTCTCACTTTTTCTCTCTGCCTCTCACGAGTTCACACACCCTATGGCAAAACCTTTAAAAGAAAAAAAAAAGTGTGGTTATAAATGATGAGTAGATAATTTTCTCTAATCTCAATGCCAAAATTGTTCATTAGTTTATTTTCTTAAGTGGTTTTCTTTTGTTTTGTTGGTTTTTTTGCTATACGGTGTGTGTGCTGGCCCAAGAGAGAGAAAGAAGGAAAATGATTACGTCCTCAGGATTTGGGGCATGCAGGTACAGGTGTCCTGTCCAGCGTGACTCTCAAGCGGCTGGGTCTGGGAAACAACTATGGAGTTAGTCATGGGATCCAATGTCAACCACACCACCTGCTGGCTCAATTTTTGTTGTTGTTGTTTGTCTTGGAGAGGTTTTTGCTACAGGGCACATGCGCTCACCAAAGAGACAGAGAGACAGAAAGCAAGAAATCACCCCCCAGGGGGGATGGCCACGCCGCAATCCCTTCTCCTCTCAGGATCTTTGGCACACACGCACACGCACCCGGTGTGAGTTTAAGCCACCGGGTCCAGGACTCGAACTGCGGTCTGCTACATGGGAGTCCAGCGACATAGCCATTACACTAACTGCTGGTCCCCTGCTGGCTCAATTTTGAATGGCCCCATCATTTCACCTGGAATGGCAATACCTTCTAGTTACTAAAATTTGAATTAAAAAAAAATGAACTGAGCTAAGCATAATCATATAAAAAAGAGCAATGGTATTGTAATAATTACATTCAAAACTTTATTAGTGAAAGTTCTAATAAAATCCAAATAATTTTTCATAGTTAAAAAAAAAATCACGGGGACCAACAGATGGTATAATGGTTACATTGCTGGACTCCCACTCGGTTGACAGAAGTCTGAGTCTGGGACCTGGCCAATTGAAACTCACACCTAGTACGTGTGTGCCCAAGAATCCAAGAGGAGAATGGAGGAGAAGGGACTGCAGCATGGTCATTCCCCTGGGGGGGAGGGGTGATCTCTCACTTCCTGTCTCTCTGGTGAGCTCACACCCTACAGCAAAAATCTCTTAAAAAAAAAAAAGTCTTATCATTTATATTTATTAATACCTCTTAATATCCCCAAGTATTTCCCAAAAAACAAAGACAAAATGCTTAGTGAGTTATCTGCAAATTTTCAATAAAACGTAGGTAATTATAAGAAACTAGGTTTAGATATTCAAAGAACTTACAAGTAACTATGCCTCTAGGTTCTTGAAACAGAAACAAAGCATGTAGGACTCGAGACCTCACAATTTGATGTTCTAAAAAAACACATAAGCCAAATTTATTAACAATGTGTTACCTAAAAAGTTCAGAGAATTATAAAACTTAAAGAGATTCCACTTACCATATGGAGAAATCATCTGATTAGGAGAGAGAAGAAAAAGGTATCCTCGGTCTCCTAACGGTTTAACAAGAACCTGTGTTTTTGAGAAAGGTAAGGTGTATCTACTTTATTATAAAGGCAGACACATAGCACTTTCTACTAATCGTAAAGAAAAAAGTTCCCTAAGGCTAGCCTCATAGCCTAGTGGTTAACAGGGTCAGAGTGTACATATCCAACCATGGTTTGAATACTGGCCCCAGCAGCTTGAAAAACACGCGAAGTACATGTGGATGCATGCCCCAAATCTCAACTAGATGGAGAAATGGAACAAAAGGTATTGTAATGTTACCATGCTCCATGGAGAGGGGGTTCTTTCTCTTTCTCTCTGGCAACTGCATATGTCTTCAGCAATTAAAAACAAAACAAAACCATTCTTTGAACACCTTTTTAAGGAAATAATGTCTACCAAGTTAGTTAAAAACTCTTTCCAACTCTCTGATTAACAGGATTTCAATCAAATAAAAAAATTTTTTAATGAGAGTAAGCTATTGAAATAATTCCCCCTAAACTCTAAGACCAACTACTTAATTTTTCCCTGAAGCTAAGTCAAGGACCAAGCTAAAGACTTTAAATAAATATTTTTGTTATCAATTCAAGACATGCTACTAATCACCAAGGAACTGTGCACTATCTTAGAAAACAACTCTTTCCTTCAGTTTAGTCCATGCCAAAGACGAATCTTAGATACTATCTAATGCAAAGGCAGTTTATTCTAGCAGCGCTTTTTTTCTTTTTTTAAGAGTTGGTATTTTTATTGGAAATGCGTTAAACTCATGACCTTGAAGAACTGATAACTTTATGTTAAGACACCCTGTTCAGGAATAAAGGCTAGCAGGCAGCTCTTTTACAAGCAGCACTCTTGTAAAGACAGGGAGCAGAAGCAGGTTAGTAGCACCGACCAGTTACAGTCAGGGGGTCAAGAAGAATAACTGATGGGGTAGATCTCCCACCTAGAGACCATAAAGTTTGGGGAATTCTTCCTTACTCATGTTTAGTTCAAGTCAGTTATCAAGTATTTTGTTCATAAATGGAATTTAAACTATTGTTAATAAGGTAAATTTTAAGGATTCTAAAAGCTGTAACTGCACTGAAGTGGCCCTATCTCCTGAAAATCCCTGCAGTAGGGTTGGAAATCCCTAGGCCAAGTTGCATCACACTACTATGTGACACATAAAATTTGGCCTTATGAGACACTTGGCCTTTATGACTACCACTAACCTTAAAGGTACTCTATGTCTCTTATAATAATATATTGCAAGTGGACAATGCACTTGAAATATTTTTGTCACAGACACAAATACTTTCAAAATGTTTTCTTTCTTGGGTGTTTTGCCAGAGGTTGCATATGCTCACTAGACTGAGACAAATGGAGAGAAAGAGGGGAAGAGAGAAAAAGCACCCCACATGGGCATGGTGACATCAAAATCCTGTCCCAATTTCTCCACCTGTCAGGATTTTGGTAATACATGCACATATCCCCAACATGTTTTCTCAAGAAATCAGGACAAGGATTCATACTTTATGGCCAGGCTTATGAAATTCAGCTCCCTAAACCACTGGACTAGACCTTTATAGGTTTTGTACAGACTACTCCATCTATAAAGAGGCAGATTAAGTACATATACATGCACACAATTTATTTTTTTATTTTTTCATTTGACCAGGGAAGGACAGAGCAAGAGAGATAGGGAAAGTGAGAAACCAAGCTGCCAGATCCACGACTCAATGAAATTCTACACAGCCATAAAAATAAATAAATTAAATAAATAAATAAAAAGTTGCATGTTCTGAATATCACTGAAATAAATCTCCACTTGACAACCAGGAAACTGGGCTCAACAATGCAAGCAGTGAGAAGTCAATTGCTGAAAACCTTTTTTTTTTAAATTATTTAACTTTATTTATTTTAATTATTTTAATTTGACCAGAGAGGGACAAAGTAAGAGTGAGTGAGTGAGTGAAAGAGAGAGAAAGAGAGAGAAGGTGAGAAAGCAAGCCACCAGGTCCAGGACTCGAACCATTGTTGCCCATGTGGGGGTCCAGCACCCTTAACTACCATATCACCTGCCGGCCCCAATTGCTGGAAAACTTTAAATGCACACTCCCTCTCTGCTGGAAATTTCCTACCAGCATTTCATGTGATCTCACCTGATCAGCACAAAGGAAATAAAACTGGAATAGCCATGTCCCTCCTCCGCAACCATCTCCCTCTCTCTTTCAGCAGAAGTATGTCTACTGGCATCACAGTCATTTTCCATTCACTTCTCAATCCATCACCAATTGATATCTGACCCTATCCCTCACCTAAGTATCTATTAAACTGCTTACTACTTAGTAGATATCCCTTAAGTCGATCTTTTTATATCATTATTTCATTTATTTATATCGTTACCTTTCTCATTCAACCCATCACCCTCTAATGGAACAGTTTCTTACCTCAACTCTCCCATTTAATTTATTCTCTACAGAGTAACCAAGGTAAAACTTTCAAAATACAGATCTGATTATGTTGCACAAAGTCTCATCCCACTCCGTTTAACATCCTTCAAAACCCATTGCATTTTGAGTCAAATCCAGACTCTAAAATATTCAAACACTGCCTCAATGATAAGGCATGATGACACAGCCCCCGACTACTTCCCTTCAATACTGTCGTGTTCGTTTTCTCTTCAACCTCGTCAAGTCTCTTTTTGGATCTTCAAATATGCCACTGTCTCTATTGACACAAATTAACATCTACCTGGACACTTCCTTCTATTCATCACTGTATGACCCAGGAAAAGTGTCTCTTTGTCTCATTCTTTACAGAATTATATGCTCTGTGTACAAAAATGATACTCAATAAACATCTATCACATTCATGATCATGAAGTACGATGAAAATATTTCATGGAAGACTTGTCAGTAGAAGATCTAATGTCATGGCCAAACAGAAGAGTACTAGAGACTAGTACTAGAGTAGAGCCTAGCACTAGAGTACGAGTAAAATACTGTTAACTAAATTGAATTAACGAAGACACAAACCTACGGTATGTTCAGAGTCAAAAGGAAAATAAACTGAAATACAAATACAATCACTCACTAATATATTTCTAAGGAAGAATTAGTAACATTTTAAAACTTTTCACTCACAAGTTTTTCTTTCTCTAGCTTTTGCAGTAAACTCTCCATGTTACTTCCAATTCTTGTCTTTTCCACAACTTCATAAAGGCTGCAGTACATTCCATTTTTCAAAACTGTCACACACACACACACAAAAAAAATCAAACAGCAAATGCTCAAATCACTTGTTTATATACTTTATACATATGCACACATTTTAGTAAAATTAAATTACTTTACCTTCATTTGGACCTAAGTATGTTTCCTTATAAAACAGTGCTGGAGGGATTTTCTGTTTCAGAAGATCAATACTCATAACTGTTTCAACATCTAGCTTCTCAGGACTGAAAGAAAATTGAAAAAGCAAGTTTACCCCACCTTATGTTTAACCCTAGTATCATCATCACTTACAAGAAACCAATACTTGATGGGAAACAGAAGGGAATACCTATTAACATTTTACCTTACTCTAAAAACAGGACTTGATTAAGGGAAGTCTAGATATATACATAGGTAGGTGATCTGGCAATATTACCAACCGTCCATCCTTATGCTAGAGACTAATCCTAGAGGCCAACTATACTAAGCACAAAGGATAAAAATTTAAGGTTTTATTAGAGACAATTCAAGGTGCCAGCAGGTGGTGTAGTGGTTAAGGCACTGGACTCCTGCATGGCCAACTGTGGTTCAAGTCCCAGAGCTGGTAGCTTACTTTCTCACTTTCCCTCTGTCTATCTCTGGTGAGTGCACATGCGCTAAAACAAATAGAAATAAAAAATAATAATAAAATTAAATAATTCAAAAAAATAAAAGTATGAAGTGTTAAACCTCAAACATTTATCAAGGCCATGTCTTTGTGGTGGTGGCAAAGGATTATTCTAGACCTTTCTAACATATATGTGACACAGACAGAATTGCCTGTACATTTCAACTAACTCATTAGTGGAAGCTCTCCCGAGAAAAGAACTAGTCATTCTGAAGTTTACTATAATCAAACTGCTGAATTTAGAGTATAGTTAGGATAAAATTTTAAAGAATTACTTTTCAGGGACCAGCAGTTAACGTAATGGCAATGTCGCTGAACTCCCATGTAGTCGACCGTGGTTCAAGTCCCAGACTCGGTGGCTTAAACTCATGCCGGGTGCATGTTTGTGCATGCCCAATATCCCAAGAGGAGAATGGAGAAGGGATTGCAGTGTGGCTATCCCCCCTGGGGGGTGATTTCTCACTTTCTATCTCTCTGTCTTTCTGGCAAGCGCGTGTGCCCTATAGCAAAAACCTTTCCAGAAAAAAAAAGATTACTTTTCAGATTTAAAAATCACTAAAAAAAAAAGTTTTTGGCAGCTTATTTTGCCATTAAGGCACATGTGCGAGACAGAGAGACGAGAGGGAAAGTGAGAAACGCACCGCAATCCCTTCTCCATTCTTCTCTTGGGATTTTAGACACACAAACATACATGCAAGTTTCTAAGACTAGAACCATGGTTAGCCTCATGGCAGTCCAGCTCCGTAACCACTGTTCCAGCTGCTGGCCCAATTATTTTTTTTTTTTTAAGAGAGATTTTTGCAATAAGGTGCATGTGTTCACCACAAAGACAAAGTGAGACAGAAAGCGAGAAATCACTCCCAAGGAGAATAGTCATGCCATAATTCCTTTTCTTCCGTTTTCCCCTCAAAATCATGGGCACATACGCGCACACACCCAGCATGAGTTTTAAGCAGCTAGGTCCAGGACAAGAACCACGGTCGACAGTGTGGGAGTCCAGCAACGTAACCATTATACCATCTGCTGGTCCCTTTACTTTTTTTTTTTTTTTTTTTGAGGGGTAGGGCGCATGCGCTCACCAGAAAGACAGAGAGAGATAGAGAGATAGAAAGCGAGGAATCACCCCCTCCAGAGGGGAGGGCCACGCCACAATCCTTTCTCCTCCATTCTCCTCTCGGGATCTTAGGCACACACACACGCACACAAATATGCCCGGCATGAGTTTAAGCCACCAGGTCCGGAACTCGAACAACGGTCAGCTACATGGGAGTTCAGCGACATATCTATTACACTAACTGCTGGTCCCCCCTTTAAATTTTTTAATGAGGGGAAAAGACACTTTTTTTTAATGGGGAGGGAATAGTATTCTTTTTTAAGGAATTATTATTATTTTTTTAATTTGTTATAGGGCACATGTGCTTGTCAGAGAGAGAGAGAGAAAGAGAGAGAGAGAAGAAATGAGAGAACAAGCCACCAGGTCTCAAACTTAAAACCATGGTTGGCCATGTGGAGTCCAGGTCCTTAACCAACAAACTACCTACTGGTGCTAATATGCTGGGGTATTTTTTTTTTTTTAAATCCATGAGTGAGACACACAGAGAGACAGAAACAAAGGGATTTTTAATATCCTCAATAGGATTCTCTGACATCACAACCCAAGCCCAGTCTCAGCAAATCTGCTATATAGGCATATATTGATTGGGTCATCAGAAAGGTTATGACATACTTCTAGGTAAAAGTGCATCATGGGGGCTGGCAGGTGGCATGGTGGTTAAGGTACTGGACTCCCACATGGCTGACTGTAGTTCGAATTCCAGACCCGTGGCTTGGTTTCTCACTTTCCCTTTGGCTCTCTATCTCTGATAACATTTAAAGAATAAATAATTATTTAAAAGTAAATATTTAAAATAAAATAATATTTTCTTATAAAAACAAATAAAATAAATCAATCTTAAAAAAAAAAATTGGGGGCTGGCAGGTGGCATGGTGGTTAAGGGTCCTGGACTCCCACATGGCCGTCCACGGTTTGAGACCCAGACCTGGAGGCTTGCTTTCTTACTTTCTCTCTCACTCTATCCCTTTCTGGTCAAATTAAATAAAGCTAAATAAAATAATTATTTTAAAAAATTACATAATGACTTTTCTTGCAACCCAATATGCATACCTAAGGTGGTCCCCAGATTTGAACTGGCAACCCTCCCATTTGGGTCTGCCTTGCAGTCTCACGCGATCTACCACTGCCCCAGTGTCCAGACAGAGTCTGGACATACCATTAACCTCTGGCCCTAGGTTCCCAACTACAATAGGTAGGTTAACAGATATACTGCTAAACCCAGCACGCTTAGGTTGGTGCAGATCCAAACCTACTCCTGCAATGTGGCTCCAACATCATGTTGCAGTGCCCCACTGCTTGTGCCACTACAGCTGGGTGGAGAAAAATTTTATACCAAAAATGTATGACCAGCCTATCCCCAAACAATCAGAGGCCTCTGCTAATTAACTTCCTTGAGTTATTAAATCAACATTTTTTTTATTATGAGATTTTTGCTATAGAGCACATGTGCTCACCAGAGACAGAGACAAAAAGCAAGAAATCACCCCCCTGGGGGATGGCCATGCCACAGTAACTTCTCCTCCATTCTTCTCTTGGGATTTTGGGCACACACGCACACACATCCAGCCTGAGTTTCAAGCTGCCGGATTTGGGACTCGAACTACAGTTGACCATGTGGGAGTCCAATTCCTTAACCACTATGCCACCTGCTGGCCCCTAAATCAACCTTTTAAAAACCAAAACATTTATATTTAAGTTACTATGAACCACAGAACAAATTAAATATGAAAAATAAGGAAAAAAAAGCAAAAGGAGAAATCTATACAATTAGCAACTAACTGCTATTTTCTTAAACCATACTTACAGCTTGATAGGTAAAAAAGCACGAGTGGCTGACCTCAGAGAAATATAACACAGAAGCTTTCCTTTATTTAAAAGCTGTCCCTTCCACAAAGTGTAGTTAAATTTATCTAAATAAAAAAAAAAATGACACAGCTCAGTTGCTTGACAGCCAAGAAAATAAATGCATGTTTATTGTAAACAAGAGGGTATATCTAGAAATAAATTTAAGTAGAAATCCAACAGAAAAAGTGACATTTCTATTTTTAGAAGAGTTTAATTTAGATTTTAGTTTCAGGTATCTTTCTTACTAGCAAATCATTGCAGTTGCAAAGAATAAAAACTTATCTCTCAAAATGTACTCATCAGAAATTTAAAAAGCTAAGACAATACAATTACTGCCTTATTTCCCCCAGGAGACTACATTAAATATGGATAATTGCATAAATAATCTTCTATCTTCTATTCATTCTGTTTTCATTATGGGGAAACTGAAAGAGAGTTAATATCAATATGGCTTTCAATCTTCTCTATCTCTAAATCCTAAACCTATAATGGATTTAGTAAGTTAAAAGGTGAAGTTGTAAGACTGGTTTTATTTATTACTTTTTAAATTAAAGTTCTAAAACACTTACTCTATTCATAGTAGCAGTAGCCTCTCAAAGGAGTATGCTTGGAAGACCAAATGTTAATAGTATATCATAACTTGATCCTTTTTTCCGTACTTTGCAGACTTTCATTCATTATAAAGATTTAGCAAAGCACCTAACATACTGTTTACTATACGTACTTAGTCTTTCAATTCATAAAACTTAAGTAATATAAGAATCTTACCTATGTTTCTATCTGCATTAAAGCTGTTAGATCTACAAATAAATTTTCAAAAAGAAAAGAATAACATTACTGATCAGTAACAATATAAATGTTAACATTTAGTACCTTGATATAAATGCTATTTTTAATTTAATACTGTACAAGACAATTAAATCCTTCCTTAATAAATCCAAGTATACTTAGAGAAAGTAGAGTACTAAACTTGTGTTCAAGTTATTATATTAGCTAGGGAAGCTATTTTTCCCAAAAATATCCATCAAGGGATATTAATAGAGTCCATTAAAATCACTATCAATTACTTTATTCTGGTGATAAGACTAGATGATTACATGATAAGATTCAATATATATTTAAATATATTTACCTATTATACAACAAATATTTACTAACCTATTATTTACCAAACATTATTCTAGGAAACAGGAATACAGGGTTAAATAGAAAAAGTCCCTGCCACCACTGAACTTAGAATCTTAATTCACTGTTGTTCATTCAATGAACAACATCAACCAAAAAGTATGTATTAGATCATTTGGAAAATCATGACACAATTTCCTGTATTTTCCTATGCAAAAATGTGTTATAACATTTCCAACAGCTGACTGAGTGATGATGGTTTTATGTACTATGAAGAAAAAGACATAATGGTACAGGGGTTTAAAAAGAAAAATGCTCAGGAAGACCTCATAGATAAAGTCACCTTTAAGAAGGGGACCTGAGGAAATGTGGGGATGAATGATGAAGATAGCTGAAGAGAGGGCACAATAAATGCAGAGGCCCTGGCATAGGATAATTCATGGAGCATTCAAAGTATATGACAGAATCAGAAAGGAGGCAAAGAAAATTAATGCCATTCCACAGGTCACCTAAGATCACTTAAGGAAAACATACATAGTAAATGTATGTATTGTGGAAACCATAACTACAGGGCCACATAAAAACAAAACACAAACTATACTATCTTGGTTATGTGAAACAGGATTTGTGTCTGTGGATGGTTTCCAGGCTTATTCACTGACATGAAAAATCGATACATCTCAAACAATTTACATGCAAGAGATAACAATTTGATCTGGGAAACTGATTTAAAAAATTAACCTAGAAGATGTACATAAATGTTTCATGATGCTGTAGCTTTTTAAAACAGCAGTATTTCTAAATTAATAGACATTATATGTGGCTTCTAATATGTATAGATATTAATAGTAAAAATATAAATTTGACCTATACCTAATCAATGTACTTATTCCATGTGCCTAAAACACATTCTGGAATTACCATAAGGGAAAAAGAAAGGGGAATTGCTTTGCTTTGATCACCTTCTATTAGAGCTGAGAAGACACTAACAATGGTACTAAACACTGGCTGAAAATCAGAATCACGTATAAGCTTTTAATAACTACAAACACTGAGGCTCCCCACCAAATATCTGATATAGCTGGTCTCGGCTGGGACCAAGGCAGCTTTTGAAGAAGGAAAGCAAAAACACGAAGTTTCATTGTTAAAGACTGCCATTTGAAAAGAACACAACAAAACTGCCATTTACTCAACTCCACAAACTTCAGTAACAACAACAAAGATGTTAATCAGATGAGGTATAAATTTTAATTGGCGTTTCCACAAAAATTACCTAGCCTTCACAATGCCCTTTTAAAAGTCATCCTAAACACTCAAATATGCAACTAATTTCAAGAAAACTTAAAAAAAAAAGGGGGGGTGGGGGAGGAAAAATTCATCCTCCTAACTTAGCAGCCCAAGATCCATAATCCACTTTCTGGGTGCTATCTAAAACTCATTTTAGTCTTACCTTGATGAAGGTACATACTTTGGAGTTTGTATATCATCTTTGTATGTAAAAGAAACAACTGCATATGGACAAACATGTCTTGGTCTTCGCCTTAGCTCATCAAAGCCATACTCGTAAAAGTAATACTAAAAATAAGAAAATGCAAAATTAACTTCTTTATGAAGGCAAGTAGTAGTGAGGAATCTTACGGTTTACCTGCCTGATTTTTGAGAAATTATGAAACAATTTAGGTGCCTCTGACAAAAATGCCTTTCAACTTCACGTGTTAATTTAATTAAAATAATTTGCATTTGGTATTGTTTTTGTGAGATAAAATATTCTGATGTATATCAGATCCAAGGGTATTACCAGGGATCCCTAAAGTTTACTTCTGGAGAGTTACCATGTGCAACAAATTCTGTAACAAAAATATTACAAATGGAACATAAGCTTCCAGGTCAACCCAAAACAGACAATTCTATACAAAAAGTAAAATGCCAAGGACACAATCTCTACCATACCCAAATACCATTTTGCTTATTATTTCAAAAGGAAAACAGATTAGGGCTCCAAGTACAAACAAAGCAGTAAAGGAAACGTGGCAAAGAAAACACACAGGAGCCAAGTCATCAAATGGCTGAGGCAGCTAGATCCCATGAGGCAAGCTGCACAGCTGAGTCCTGGACCTAGCAGCTTAAAAAAAATGCCAAGCATGTGCATGGGTACCCCAAATCCAGAGAGAAAGGAGACGGGATTGTGGTTGGGTCATCTCCAGGGAGGGGGCTTTCTCACTTTCTCTCTTCCGCCTGCACCCCACCCCCTTCAACAAGTACACATACCCTACAGCAAAAAATAAAATAACAGAACATAAACATAAGGGGGAAAGGCAGCTAGCCTCTCTCCCTTTCACTTATCTGCCACATCGTTCAGGATAAGATTGTGGCTTGCATGTTAGTGATTTCACCTAAAAAGAATGCCTGAGTTTATAAACAAAGCACCATTGTCCTTAAAAAGTTTACTCCCTTGGGAAATTGTGGATTTCAATGATGCTGTTTATCCTAAAACTGCCTGAAAAACTAGACAAATAAACCCAGTCTAAGAATCTTTCGGGAACCAGCAGTTAGCGTAATGTCTATGTCGCTGGACTCCCACATAGTCGACCACGGTTCGCATCCCGGACCCGGTGACTTAAAACTCACACCGGGCACATGTGCGTGCATGCCCAAGATCCCGAGAGGAGACTGGAGGAGAAGGGATTGCGGCGTGACCATCCCCCCCGAGGGGTGATTTCTCGCTTTCTGTCTCTATGTCTCTCTGTCTGTCTGGCGAGCGCATGCGCCCTATAGCAAAAATCTCTCTAAAAAAAAGAATCTTTCTAGGGGCCGACAGGTGGCATGGTGGTTAAAGGCACTGGACTCCCACATGGCCGACCATGGTATAAGTCCTGGACCTGGTAGCTTCCTTTCTTGCTTTCCCTCTCTCTTGTCTCTCAGTGGTCAAACTGGAAAATAATAACAAATAAAGTTAAATTAACGCTTAAAGAAAGAAAAAAAAAGAATCTTTCTGGGGACTGGCAGATGGAACAATGATTTCATCACTGGACTTCCACATAGTTGACTGTGATTCAAGTCCTGGACCTGGTGGCTTAAAACTCTCACTGGTGGGACTAGCAGTTAGCGTAATGGCTATGTCGCTGGACTCCCATGTAGTCGATTGCGGTTCAAGTCGCGGACCCGGTGTCTTAAACTCACGCCGGGCACATGTGCGTGCGTGCCCAAGATCCCGAGAGGAGAATAGAGGAGAAAGGATTGCGGCGTGGCCATCCCCCATTGGGGGTGATTTCTCGCTTTCTGTCTCTGTCTGTCTGGTGAGCACATGCGCCCTATAGCAAAAACCTCTCCACAAAAATTCTCACTGGCAATGTATGTGTACGTTTGCCCAAAATCCTGAGATAAGAATGGAAAAGGCGTTGCAGTGTGGCCATTCCCCGCTGGGGGTGATTTCTGACTTTCTGTTGATCTCTCTCTACAGCAAGCACATACACCCTATACCAAAAATCTTTCTTTCAAAAAAAAAAATCTTTCTGAAGGGGCCAGTAGTAGGTGGCATGTTGTTTAAGGTGCTAGACTCCCACATGGCTAACTGCAGATTGAGTCCTAGACCTGGTGGCTTGAAAGTTTCGTCCGGTGAGTATGCACGTGTGCCCAAAATCCTAAGAGGAAAATGGAGGAAAAGAGTTCTGGTGTGACCATCCACCTAGTGATGTGATTTCTCATTTTCCTCTCTCCAGGGAACACACATGTCCTATGGCCAAAACCTATAAAAACAAAAAAAACTTTCTAGAAAGACCAATAATTATTATTTTTTAATTGCCAGAGTGCACATGTACTCACCAAAGGGAGAAGGAAATAAAGTACCCACCAGTGGTGCAACATCAAATGGCAATCTCCATTTCTCCATCTTGCCAGTATTTAGGGCATACACACATTCTGTGTTTTTTAAGCCACCCGGACCAAGATCCAAATGGTTGTCAGTCACGCAGGATCTAGCTCCCTTACTGTGTTATGGGGCTGGGCCTACTTTATAGCTACACCTTGCTATCTGCCAATATTACTACTACTGCCCAAAAGTGATCAAATGAGCCAGCTCTGGATAACCAGTAAATATAATTTTTCTTAAAAGCCCCCAACTATAGGTCTTTCCCAAGGAGACTTTTCAAAAACAAAGAATTATATTTTACATAAAAATTGTAAAAAAGAGACGATTTCCAGAAGGTCAGCATCCCTATTTTTCACATATAATCCATTTGGACATATACTTTTTAAATGTTTGTTTAAAAAAATATTATAGTCAAGGGACTAGCAGGTGGTGTGGTGGTTAAGGAGCTGGACACTCCCATGTGGCCAACCACATTTCGAGTCCTGGGCCTGGTGGCTTGCTTTCTCACTTTCTCTCTCTCTGTCTCTGTCTCTCTTTGGTTATTCAACTAAAATAAAATGAATGAATAAATAAATATTTTTAAAAATTATAGTCGAACCCTATATAGAAACATAATAACTAGTGCCACCCCTGTGGCATAATGGTTAAGAGAGCTAGATCTCACATGGCTGACCATGTTGTTCAAATCCTGGAGCTGGCAGCGTGACAAACCTACTGAGTATGGACCAGCTGGTGGTATGGTAGCTAAGGCAGCTGGATACCCAATGGTCAACTGTGTGGTTTCAGTCCCAGGCCCAGTGGCTTAGACACTCTGGGCCTGTGTGCGTGCATGCCCAAAATTCTAAAAGGAGGGAGAAATGGAGAACGGATTATGTATGGCATAACTAACGGACTGGGCACACATATGTGAGTGACCAAAAGTCTAAATAACATGGAGAAATGAAAAAGAAGTGATTGCAGCATAACCTGCCCCACTGGAAGATACTTTTTCTCTTTCTTTCTGTGTCTCTTTTAGAATTAATTAGTTTTGCATCTTAAAAAATGTCAACCAAAGAGCCAGGTGGTATGAACGTTAATGTGGCTGAATCCCACACGGCTGATGGCACAGTATGAGTCCTATCCCAACAGCTTGAAAAAACACACTAGGTTGCATCTGTGTACCCAAAATCCCAAGAGTAGAATGGAGAAGGAATTGCAGCATGACCATTCATTCCAAGGGTGATTTTTCTTTCTTTCTCTCCTTCTCTCTCCCTTTTTCACCCCTTTCTTCCCCTCCCAACCCACAGTGAGCACACTATGGCAAAAAAAATAGAATAGTCAACAAAAATAGAAAATATCAGGACCAGCAGTTAGTGTAATGGCTATGTCACTGGACTCCCATGTAGTCAACTGCAGTTCGCGTCCTGGACCCAGTGGCTTAAAACTCATGCCAGGCACGTGTGTGTGCATGCCCAAGATCCCGAGAGGAGGAGAATGGAAGAGAACGGATTGCGGCGTGGCCAACCCCCCCGGGGGGTGATTTCTCACTTTCTGTCTCTCTGTCTCAGTCTGTCTGGCGAGCGCATGTGCGCTATAGCAAAAACCTCTCCCCAAAAAAAAGAAAAGAAAAGAAAATATCTATCAAATCAGGACTAGCAGATGATATAATGGTTGCATCACTGGACTCCCACATGGCTGACTGCGGTTCAAGTCCTACACCTGAGGCTTGAAACTCATACAGGGCATATGTGCATATGTGCCCAAAATCCAGAGAAGAGAATGGAGAAGGGACTGCAGGATGGCCATCCCCCCAGGGGATCAGTCCTCGCTTTTTGTCTCTGTCTCTCAGCAAGTGTATGTGCTCTATAACAAAAATTTCTCAAAAAATGAAAAGAAAATATCTATCAAATGAACAGTGCAAAACATTATGAATTAAAGTATTTCAAGAAGCTTCAACTTGTACTAGGTAGGAGTTCTTTCTAGGTTCAGAAATGCAAGTCACCATTTTTAAATGAAATGAGGTTATGTTGAGTTTGTGATCACACAAAATCTAGTCTGGAGGTCACAGTTTAAGGGCAGGGAAAGCTAGTCTAAGAAGTCTGAATATTATCCTTGGGACTTGAGGAACCACTCTATTTCTGAGCCTTCCTATGAAGTAGTGTACAAATACCAAAGAAACACTGAAGGCTAGCAGTGATATGTGGAAAACAAAGTCTAGACTTGTATAGTGGCAAAGGGAACTGAAAACAGACATTCTGGGGACCAGCAGGTGGTGTGATGGTTAAGGCATTGGACATTCCCACATGGCCGACCAGTTTGAGCCATGGACCAGCTGGCTTGCTTTCTGACTCTCTCTCTTACCCTGTGTGTGTGTGTGTGTGTGTGTGTCTTTCTGGTCAAATTAAAAAATAAATGAATGAATAAATTAAATTAAATAATTCTTAAAAAAAAAAAAAAAAGAGAGAGAGAGAGTCATTTTAAAGGATTTTGTAACAATCTGGTATGAAGTCATAACATTAAGATGGATCGAGAAACCTACCTGAGTAAGCTCATAGGCTCTGTAAGCCAAAAGTGATGTAATTCTATTTGCATTCTTCGACACATGACATTCATGTTTTGGTGTGGGGTCCAACGCACTTTTATTTAACATAGATTCCAAACTTTTTACACCCATGGGGTCATATATACTCTTTATTTTACCCTAAAATAGAGAAAACTTTTTCAGTATCCACCTAAGTCTGATTATTAACTATATGACATTAACATTATAGATGCTTTCCTTAAATATATTATAGTTCACCTATATCAACAATCCTTTTCCCTTTAATACCTGGTGATGAAATTAGCACCTAACAGTTTATATCAATATTAAAACAGTAAGAAAAAAACTAACCACTAAAAAAAAGTCCTTTAGGGGCTGGCAAAGGCATTGGACATTCCCACATGGCTGACCAGTTTGAGCCATGGACCAGCTGGCTTGCTTTCTGACTCTCTCTCTTACCCTGTGTGTGTGTGTGTGTGTGTGTGTCTTTCTGGTCAAATTAAAAAATAAATGAATGAATAAATTAAATTAAATAATTCTTAAAAAAAAAAAAAAGAGAGAGAGAGAGTCATTTTAAAGGATTTTGTAACAATCTGGTATGAAGTCATAACATTAAGATGGATCGAGAAACCTACCTGAGTAAGCTCATAGGCTCTGTAAGCCAAAAGTGATGTAATTCTATTTGCATTCTTCGACACATGACATTCATGTTTTGGTGTGGGGTCCAACGCACTTTTATTTAACATAGATTCCAAACTTTTTACACCCATGGGTTCATATATACTCTTTATTTTACCCTAAAATAGAGAAAACTTTTTCAGTATCCACCTAAGTCTGATTATTAACTATATGACATTAACATTATAGATGCTTTCCTTAAATATATTATAGTTCACCTATATCAACAATCCTTTTCCCTTTAATACCTGGTGATGAAATTAGCACCTAACAGTTTATATCAATATTAAAACAGTAAGAAAAAAACTAACCACTAAAAAAAAGTCCTTTAGGGGCTGGCAGGTGGCTTGGTAGTTAAGGGCACTAGACTCCTACAAGACCAACCACAGTTCAAGTCCCAGATCAGGCAGCTTGGTTTCTCACTTTCTTCCCACCCCCCAACCTCCAGTCAAAATAAAATAAGTACATAAAAAAATAATAAATAAAATAATTTTAAAAAGAAAGTCTTTTGGGGCCTGCTAGGTACCACAGTGGTTAAGGTGGCTGTATGTCACATGGCATACTAGACAGTTTAAGTTCCAGACCCAGCGGCTTGAGAAACATGTTGGGTGTGTATGCATGGGTATGAACCCAAAATCCTAAGAGAATAGAAGAAAAAGAATTGTGACATGGTCATTCCCCAAAGGGGGCTGCTTTCTCCCTTTGTCTATCTGTCTGTCTGTCTCTCTCTCCCTCTCTCTCTCTCTCTCTCTAGCAAGCACATGTGCCCTATAGCAAATATTTAAAAAAAAAAAAAAAGGCCTTTGGATTCATTTAATAAATTCTATTCACAACACTCTTCACAAATCTAAATTACATTACTAATATATTATCTTTTCTTCATCCTTTTCTTTGGAAAGGAAAGCAAACTCAAGTTTGGCAAGCTTAGATCAAAGATAAAAAAGCAATCCCTCTCGAAAGCCTTATGTAGGGACCAGCTAATGGTTATGTGTTGGACTCCCATGTAGTCGACTACAGATGGAATTCCAGACCAGGTGGCTAAAATTCACACTAGGCACATATGCATGCATGCCCAAGATCCCAAGAAAATGGAGAAGGGATTACATTGTGGCCATGTCCTTCTGGGAGGATATTTCTCACTTTGTTTTTCTGGCAAGTGTACACACCCTATAGCAAAAATCTCTCTTAAAAAAAAAAAAGTCTTTGTGTACTAAATCCCAACATGCACTTTTAATTTTTTTTTTAAAGTTTTTTTGCCATAGGGTGCATGTGGTCACTGGAGAAAAACAGTGAGAGGGAAAGTAATAAAAAAAAAATCATCCCACAGAGATGATAGCTACATAGCAGTACCTACTCCTCCAAACTCCTCCTGAAATTTCTGGCACGTATGCATGCACACATGCCTGACAGGGTTTTCAGGCCACCAGGTCCAGGACTTGAACTGTGGTTGGCCATGTGGGAGTCTAACACCTTAGCCACGACGCCACCTGATGGCCCTGAAGTACTTTTATTTTGATGAACTGCTTTAAAGACCTGGGGCCAACTAAAATTAAAATCTAAATCAAACGTTGTATTTGGGAACCAGCAGTTAACGTAATGGCTATGTGGCTGGACTCCCACATAGTTGACCGCGGTTCACGTCCTAGACCTGGTGGCTTAAAACTCACGCCGGGCACGTGTGTGTGCATGCCCAAGATTCCAAGAGGAGAATGGAGGAGAAGGGATTGCGGCGTGACCATCCCCCCCGGGGGATGATTTCTCGCTTTCTGTCTCTAATGTCTATCTCTGTCTGTCTGGCGAGTGCACGCGCCCTTATAGCAAAAATTTCTCCAAAAAAAAAAAAAAAATGTTGTATTCGATCTCTGAAATAAACAAGTTAAAATTACCTTCATTATTTTAAAAATAACAATATCGCCCATTGTCCCAGCTTCCAGAGGATTAGCTTGTAATAAATCAGCATACCTAGAAAGATAAATACCTAGTAGAGAGAAAAAATTTTAAAAATCTGAATTTCAGTAAATAAAACTATGAATATGAAAATAAAAATATTTAACCCCAAAAAAGAAGAGATAAAATATATGACTTTTTTTTTTTTTTTAATAATTACTGGGACCAGCAGATGACATAATGACTGTATCATTGAACTCCCACACTCAACTGTAGTTTGAGTCCCAAACCCGGCAACTTAAAACTCACGCTGGGCACATGTGCATATGTACCCAAGATCCCCAGATGAAAATGGAGGAGAAAGGTCTGCATCATGATCAGTGTCCTAGAGTGAAGGGTGATTTCTCTTTATGTCTCTCTGGAGAGCATGCATGCCCTATAGTAAAAATCTCTCAAAAAATATTTAATTTTACTTATTATTATTATTTTAACTTGACCAGAGGGAGAGGGAAAGTGAGAAAGCAAGTTGCCAGGTCTGCGCCTTGAACCACAGTTGGCCATGAGGGAGTCTAGTTCCTTAATCACCACACTACCTACCAGCCCCTAGTGTGATACCATTTTAAAGAAATGGAAAGATAGCTAATATTCAACCCAAACAAAATAAGAGGCTCACCCACAGTGGGCTGCTAAGATGCTGTGTTCTGTAGGTTGAGACAACATGAGAGACTCTGAGATTCCTAGTCCAACCTGAAGATCAAGTGCAAAAGCACATGCCTGTAAACCTAGCAATTGGTTAGGGCAAAGCGAGCTCTGGAGCTCACGTGTGACGTGGGCAACACAGAAAGACCCCATCTTTAACAAAACTATATTGCCTATAGACTCAGGGAGGCTGAGACAGGAGGATTATAATATGCAAAGACTCTGTCTTGGGGAAAAAAAAAAAAACTCAGAAAAAAACTAAAACTAGTCAAATTTTTCAAAATCATCAAGACTAGAAGACATTAAAAGAATAATAATCTTGGAACCAGCAGATGGACTCCAACATAATCGGACTCGGCAGCTTAAAACTCATGCCAGGTGAATGTGCATGTGAGTCCAAAATTCTGAGGAGATAAGAGAAGGGACTGCAGTATCACTATCCCCCCCCAGAGGTTGATTTCTCACTTTGTGTCTCTATATCTCTATTTCTCATATTAAGTGCATGTGCACATGCACTATAGCAAAAATCTCTAAAAAACCAAAACAAAAACCTTGATCAATCTGAAGTATACAAACTCAGAAATAAAAGACAAAACTGGTTTGGTATTTCAGTACCTGAGACTAGTCTCATTTACTGGAAACATGATAAAGCAAACATGAATTTTATTATAAGGACTGCTGCAAAATTACATGAAATGTTTTTAAGTAGCAACTTAATAGTAGATAAATATAAGTGAAAAAGAAAAAGATTACCCAAGGAAGGACTGCCAAGAATTGTTATTTTGGACTGGCCCACCTGTAATCCTTTTTCACATATGCTTTGAACCTAAATAAATAAAACATTTCATTTTGTAATCACTCTAACATTAAAAATGCAACAATTTGTACACTTGTTTTAAAGAGAATCTAAACTTCTAAACTATATTCTACATGACAGAATTTTCAAAAACATGTCAGTTCATGACCAAATATCAATATGAAACTTAAACTTCTAATGTAACCATACCTAGAAACCATTTTTCTTCATGCTGATTCTCTAAATGCCTGCCACTCATATATTATCATCCTCTTAGACAAAATTAGAACCAGCAAAAATAGTTAAAAGAAAATGCAGCTCTACTAAATTTCTTCTACTACATGGTGAATAAACAGTCCCAGAACATATAATCTACAATATAAAAGATCATCTTTTTTAATAAAAGGAACTATTATCAAGCACATTCTAGAAGAAAACAGAATTGGCAAGAGAAAAAGTTGTATGTTAGAGAAACAAATTACAAAACAAATACTTGCCCCAATTAATTCACTTTTTTCTACTTGTATATGGAGAAACCATTAAATTCACAAATTACTAGTATTGTTCAGTAAGTACAAAATTAGTAACTTACAATGGGAACATCCTCGAAGTTTTCCTATTAACTCACCTGATAGCGATCAACCATCAGAAATGCATAGGATTCCGAAAGTTCCTTTTCTAAACGACCATCAAACTTCAGTTCTCTTCGCTTTTCTGTAAACTACATGAAATTAAATCCATGACAACAATTTAGCATATAATTAAATTTTCAAGCTAACATTTTCTAGGAAATCCTAAACCTACCAAAGCAGACATTATCTTTTTTTCCCTGTACTGGCTACCCTTTCTCTATTTTAACAGGCTCTTTGCCCACATGATAAGTAAGTATCTAGTATTAATCAATTTTCACTAAATTCCTACTAAAACTTTACCACTCCAGCTTGATCATACATGGTAAGTCCCTGTTTTAGTTTTGTGCCTCCTATTTTACTTAACACAGTGCACTGCACAACTTGACCTTAAACTCGATTAGGACAAAGAAAAACATTTTTTTTTCCTAGTTTGCTACAGGGCATGTATACATGCTGGAGGCAGAGGCAGAGAGGGAGACAGAAACTAACCATGCCACAATCTCTTCTCCACTTCCCTCTTAGGATTTTGGGCACACAGGCACAGTGCCTGGTGTGTTTAAGCTGCCAGGTCTGGAGACTCAAACTGTACAATCAGCTGTGTAACATACAGGCACCTTAACCCTCACATCACCAGTTGGTCTATTTCATTTCTTTCTAACTATATTCTCAATGCCAAGCATATAAGATGTGTTCCATACATATTTACAGATTAAAAGAGTGACTTGGTCTAAGCAGTCTAACTATATGTCATTCTAAACTGCTGACACTGACTTTTTCATACAAACAGATTTATATCCAAAATATGGAAGGCAAGCCCTGTAGCACAGAAGGCAAGCCCTGTGCACAGGGAGCTGGATTCAACATGGCTGACCACAGCAACTTGAAAAATACACTGGGGATGGGCCCCAATGGCTTGAAAAACATGCTGCATGTGATACATGCATGCCCAAAATCTCGACAGGATGGTGAGGTGGAGAACCACTGTCCAGCAGGTGTACTCTCTGGCAACTTTTTTAAAAATGAAAAAATGTGCTAGTGCATGTGTCTGTGTACCCAAATCCTGAGGGGAAGAAAGAATGGAGGAAAGAAATTGAGGGGTGAACATATTCACTCTCCCTCTCTGTGGAGTACATAGGCCCTCTGGCATTTAAAAAATACACACACACACACACACACACACACATATATATTCTATATATTGGAATAAGATGAACATATTAGCTCCAAAAGCCATTACTCTCTTCAGTAATAAAATTAATGAATCTCCAAAGTAAATTTTTACATAAAATTATAAAAATTAATTATATAAAATTAATAAATAATCCCTATTATACCACTAAACTACACTGAATTACCAAGTATCAAGGTTTTTAATTTACTCTGGGATCCAGTAACATTAATGCCCTTAGGGAGCCTTTCCAAGTTTAATTCTGGTAGCACTTGGTTAACCAACTTCTAAAAATACAAAATTAATGTCCATTAAAAAGCTATACAGGAGCTAGCAGATGGTGTGGTGGTTAAGGTGCTGGACTCCCACATGGCCAAACACAGTTCAGGTTCTGGTCCTGGCAGCTTGCTTTCTCACTTTCCCTTGTTGTCTCTTGCTAGTCAAGTTAAATAATAAATAAAAGTAAATGAATAATTCTTTTAAAAAAAAGAGAAATCACCCCCCAGGGGGATGGTCACGCCACACTCCCTTCTCCTCCATTCTCCTCTCCTTTTCCTCTCGGCATCTTGGGCATGCACACACACACACTTGGCATAAGTTTAAGCCACCGGGTCTGGAATTCAAACTGCAGTTGACTACATGGGAGTCCAGTGACATAGCCATTATGCCAACTGCTGGCCCCACTGGCGGCTTGCTTTCTCACGTTCTCTCTCTCGGGTCAAATTTAAAAATAACTAATAAATAAAATTAAATAAAGTAATTATTTTTTTTAAATACAATACACATCAAGAAATATTCAAATCTGTATGTGGAAACTTAAGTGCCCTGTCTAATGTGGTCAATTTTTCCTTTCTGTTGACATGTTTTCACTGAGTTTCCACTAAAGATATTAATATAATTCAGCAACCAGACAGTGTGGGGGAAAAAAAAATCATGACTATTTTTTAAAAAAGAAAACAAACAAAACACTTTAATTATCTTCCAATTTAAACTTTTTTTTCCTAATTTGCTACAGGACATGTGTACTCGCCAGAGAGAGAGAGGAAAAGCACTCCTGGGGGAATGACCACATCCTAATCTCTTCATCTCAGGATTTTGGGTATGCACACGCACACACACCCAGTGTTTTTTTAAGACATGTCCCAGACTTGAGTCATGTGAGATCCACTGTTGTAATTACCACACTAATCGACCAGTTGTCCATTTTAAACATTTAATTAACATGTACTCAAAATACGCCTTATTATGAACTTATTAAACCATTATACAGTAAGTTTATTATCCCTATGTTTAAGATACATTCTCAGAAAAAGTTATTTTACATGATCACACATTAACAAAAATTTTAAACAGCAGGTTGAAGTAGTCCTATAGCAATGTTTAAGAAAAAAAGAGATACTGCCATTTAAGACATGTTTTTTCCGTCCGTAATTTGGCTTTTCTAAAACCTTTAACATTTCTAAAGAAACTCATTTATTTTTTCCAAGTAGAGTAAGTCAATTTAAAACATACCTCTTTTTCCAAAAGCTCATTATGTATCAAGCAAGCACGTTTGTAACTAAAATTTGCTACTGAGGTTGGTTCAAGGTAAGATGAATGGAGAATATTTAAAACATCTTCAAATTCTCGAGAGCCTGGAGTTAATGGCTGGAAAAGTGCTAAAATAAAAAAACATTATTAATTTTAAGATTATTCCATCTTAGAGGTAGCTTCTTAATTCTTGCAAGTTTGTTAATCTGACTTTAAATAAAAGGAAAAAAAGGCATCAAGGTTGTATTATTTTGTGACATGCAAAAAGATAACCTAGTAACTCACAGAAGGAAAATTAAAACCAGTGCCTACACACTGCCCAGTTACTTCAGTAACTAGTACCTGACACTATACATACAGATAAGGAGGCTGCAAATTTGCAAACCCTAGAGGTGTTACATTAGCAACCTAAATTGAAGACTCTCAAAGGAATCGGTACATATATACCCAATCTGTTTCAACTCCTATTTTATATTATACTGAAAAAGTATGTCCAGGACCACGTATTTCAGCAAATTAAATGCTTACACCATACATGTAAGCAAATAACATTTAAGACTTTTATGTCTATAAAAAAAGAAAGTGATTCTGATTGTTTTGAATACTAAAGTTGGAAGTAACAGATTATGCTGCACCCAAATGGGATCTTCTATTATCAATCAAATGTATTAGGACATTTATAATAACTAATAATAATGGAAAGACATGGAGTTTTGGAGTCAAACCCACACACAAATATTAGACCTCACATTGACTGATTTCTGGAACATGCTGGGTAAATTACTTAAACTAACGATAGCTTAGTTCTCTCATCCATAAAATGGAATTCAAGCTTTCCTAATAACCACTATATGCCACATGGCATACAGAAGACAAACACATGGAAAAAGTTTAAGTACAGCATCTGTAGCACAACTAAGGCAGCAAGGTTTCTCTCATGCTCCCAACTATTCTACATCCCATTTAGTTTGTAAAATGCTTGAATATGCCACTTATCCTTTGGTATTACTGGTCTAATAACTTCAAATTTCCACTTTAGGCATGAAATATTTTATCAACAAATTTCAAATGAAGTCTGTACATTTAAAAAGAACCACTTATCACTGCTGACAGAACTATTCATAGAAACCATTATTTATTATCTTAATTTTTTTTCAAGGTACCATCTAATACTAATCAATTAATATCAGTGAAAATACTCTAGGGCCAGTACTAAAGTCTACTTGTACATAGTCTTAAATGTAATAGCAGCTAACTTATAAATAAGCTTACTTTTCACTGTTTTTTGTATATGGTTATTAAAGCTTTAAGGGATATGTTAAATGATTTATTCACTCATACATTCATTTATTAAACCATGTATATACTACAGAAATCTCTGTAAAAACGCAGTTTTCATTGATATAATATATAACAAATGGTTACAACTTCTTTGGGCTTGCACACTAAAAAGCTTTTTTTAAAAAAGGAATAAAGTCCACATAGTTATAGTACTGCAATAAAGATACTGACTGGGAATTACCTAAAACAATAATAAAGCACCTAAATAGGATAAGACTACTAAAGAATCCTATAATCAAATTTGTAGCAGATAAATACATTCAATAATTTGACTGCAAGCTCCATGAAAGCAGGAACTTTGTTTTTATTTGTTTCTCATCTTTCTCATATCCCAGTAGTTTAGAAATATGACTACTGGCCCCAAGTAGGTTGAATAAGTGAGTGAAGAAAATGAAAGTAAAGTTCAATTTTTTAAAAAATATTGAATACAAATATATTCTACAACTACCAAAATATGACTTATTTAAAATTAGGAGTCATTCACAAATTTCAACAATTGAGTAATATATAAAGCAAAATGAAAGCTTGGAAAAGCTAAGAGAAATACTATTTCAATTCAAATCTGTTTTACAGAATGTAGGGCAAAAACATTTTCTTTGTGTCAAATGTGACAAAGAAATTGCAAAAATCTTGGAAAGTAAAGCAACATGTGGAAGTCTCTTATAGGCTTTCACATCAATGGGCCAAGCATGATTTAAAAGTTTGGGTTTATGCATGATTTTTATATTTCTAAAACATACCAATAAGAAGTATCACATGGCTATCAAGTACCTGTAAAATTCTTACAAGTCTACATAAAATAAATTTTTAGTTAAGCCTCCCTCAATCTACAATCTAGTAAGTTAAAAATGAGTGAAATCATATAAATTTACATAAGTTAACAAATTATCTCAAAAAAGTGATTAACATTTCCATTTCATATTCCAAAGCAATGTCCTATAATCATGTCACATGTACTCAAGAAAACTACCAAGAGGAAAAAAATTCTTGTAAATCAAAGTACAGAAAAACATTTTCAGATTTTAGGTCTAAGAATAAATACCTGTGTCCTAGGTATTTTGTATTTCAAATGCCTCAATGGATTCACCAGTAGGCCAGAGTAATAATTTCTGATTTTTTCCAATGATTATTTCTAAAAAAATAAAATTATGCTGTAACTACTTTTAAGAATTTCAAGTTAACGTCCTGATTATGGTAGTTTAAAAAATTGGTAATTTGGGACCAGCAGATGGCATAATGGTTACACTGCTGGACTCCCATGTAGTCGACTGCGGTTCAAGGCCTGGACCCAGCAGCTTAAAACTTACCAGGCATATGTGCATGCATGCCCAAAATCCCAAAAGGAGAATGGATTGCACTGTGCCCATTCCCACAAGATAGAATTTTTTACTTTCTGTGTCTCTGGTCTCTTCAGCAAGCACACACATCCTATAGCAAAAATCTCTCAAAATAAGTTCATGTTCTCAACACAAATTCCTTGCTAGTCTATTACCACATATACCCTGATGATGTATCTTCCCTCTGTTGTTCTTTTAAACCTGCTATAGAGCACATGTGCTCAATGGAGAGAGAGACGGAGAAGAAAACTGAGAAAACGTTCTCCCAGGGAGATGGTCATGCTCCAGTCCATTCTCCTCTCAGGATTTTGGGCACATAAACACATGCTCCTGGCAAGTTTTTCAAGCTGCTGGGTCTGGGACTTGAACAGTGAAGTTGGCCATGCAGAATCCAGTTCCCTTAACTAGCGTGTCATCAGCTGATCCATTTCTTAAGAAAATGTCTATACATCATAATCTCAATTATAGGTCATTATTTGAGAAAACCATAATAGCCATGACTATCCAAGTGGAGAGAACACTTTATATCTGAGTCAGCCATCTCACTTCCGGAGTCAGTATCCCATAAACATACTGTTCTCTGGATTCTGAGTTACTAAGTCTACTTTTTGGATAATTGTACTAAGAGCCTTATATGCATTATGATATGTAATCATCAAAGTCACTCTATGAAATTCAATATGCCCATGTCTTAAAACTGAGACAGGTAAGAGGTGATGTGGCCTAGTTACACAACTAATACATATAGCAGAGGGGATTCAAATTCAAGTTGTCTGGTTCCAAATTTTGTCTGATAAACTGTAACTAAAATAAAGACATGTGCATGTGCATTCAAGCTAGAATCTCTAATCATGTCAAGAGTTGGAAAAATTGGACTATTTCCTCATTTCATAGACCAGAACATCATATAAAACAGGCACAAATACCTATAAAAGAATACAGAATTTGCTTTTTCTACCTTTGTATTTTCTCTAAAATTAATCTTCTTAAATATTTTTTCCAATTTTATGGTACCAACAGGTGGTATAATGGTTACATTGCTGGACTTCCATGTAGTCAACCGCGGTTTGAGTCCTTGACCCAGTGGCTTAAAATTCATGCTGGGTTCATGTGCAGGTGTGCCCAAAATCCTGAGAGAATGGAGAAAGGACTCACTGCAGCGTAGCCATCCCCCAAGGAGCAATTTCTCATTTTCTGTCTCTGTCTCTCCTGTGATCGCATGTGCCCTATTGCAAAAATCTCTATAAAAATAAATCTAATTTTATTTTTCCTGCAGAAATAATAGGGCCAAAAGTCCTAACGATACTTTTTTTGGTTTATAATGGTTAACAGCAGTAGCAACTGAAGTTCTTCCACACACTAGGAATCATACTATTTTGCATGCTTCTAAGATTTCCATGAAATTCATGTCAGATAGATAAGTTTATTTCTAATCATACAAGGTTGTCCCTTAACAAAATTAGATTATTTTATAGGGTTGAAAGCACATTTAGGACAAATGGAGATTAATCATTTAGATGAGGATACTTACAGTATCATAGAATCAGAACTATAATTCAAGGCTCTTGACTGCCAGCCATACTATCAATTTCCTTTTACTAGTAGTGTATGCAATATACTCAAAAACTGAAGGTTATATTCAAGTAGTTGGCATACATAAAACTTAGGTTACTAAGCAGTCAATTTTGTTCTTTAATCAAAGAAACATCTTCCTCAATTTTACCAATTTAGTGTTTGAGTAGATGCTTTTGTACCATGTATATTTATAAAAAACAGCATATACACATATACATACAAATAAGCTAGTACTGGGACCAGCAGATGTTGAGGCAGTTACAGCGCTGGACTCCCACATAGCCGACCATAGTTTCAGTCCCAGACCTGGTGGCTTAAAAAGAAAAAAAAAAAAAAAATCACACCAGGTTCATGCGCGTGTGTGCATGCCTAAGATGGGGGAGAAGGGGGGCCGAGGGGGAGTAGAGAAGGGATTGCAGGATGGACATCCCTGGGTGGAGGTGGGCGTATGTGTCTCTCTCATTGTGTCTCTCACTCTCTGGTGAGTGCACATGCCCTAAGGCAAAAAAAAAAAAAACCCTCATAATAAAGTAATTGACTAGTATTTTAAAGTAAGATGGATCACTGCTATCTAAACACACAAAAGAGGAGGTGAAGTATAAATGAAACAATGTCCTGGTTTAAAGTAGCCAATTCATGGAAGAGGAAATATTGGGTTGTTGGAAAAGTCATGCATTTCCACACAAAAATATGTCATTACTTTTCCATCAACCCAATAATTAGCAGCAATAGGCTGGTAATCTGTAATTTCTCTCTGAATCTATAACTGATGTCTACTGGTATTACACTTCCTATTATAATCAGCTACTCACTTGCTCTTCCTATTTTCAAAAGCCACTTTTCTTCCAGTCTAAAAAACTTACTACAATGTTTTAAAAATGGATCTTTCAGGGGTCCAGCAGGTGGCGTGATGGTTAAAGTGCTGGACTCCCACATGGCCAACTACTGTTCAAGTCCCAGACCTGGTGGCTTGCTTTCTCTCTGGTGAGTGCAAGTGCCATATAGGAAATTAATAATAAATGCCTATTTTTTAAAAAAGAAAAATAAGATTACACCAGGTGTGAGTGTATGCATGACCAAAATCCTGAGAGCAAATGAAGAAAGGACTGCAGTGTAGCCATCCCCCCTAGAGGGTAATTTCTCGCTTTCCCTGACTCTCTCTAGCAAGTGCATGCATCCTATGGCAAAAAGAAAAAAAAAATCATTTTTCAATCAACAAGGTCGAGCACAGTACAAAATTTGGAAGACTAGGTATAGATAGATCAAGAAATACAAATGAGTAAAACTTGTTTTTTTGCACTGAGGATAGGTCAAAGAAAATTTAACCTCTATTACTTAGAAATTAGAAGCATGTAATTCTTCTATATAGATATGAGATCTATGGTTCTCACCAGTTATCTATAAATTACTGAAAAACCATGGATATTTTCTTAAGGGTGAAACTTGACCCCTATGGCCTCTAAAAGACAACTGCAAATTTTGTGGGAACACAGATGGAAAGTAGAATCAGCCATTAATTCTCATGGACTAAACCAGTATGGAAACTAGTACACGAAGGCAGTTCATTTTTGAGATTCCCTTGTGGTCTACAGAAAACATTAACCAATAAATATTTTTAAGTGAATCATCACTACTCCATTTGCCAAGAACTATGGAGGGAAAAATCCTATCAAATTAACAATTTTCATTTACTTTTGATGACTTAGTAGGTGTAGAGTAAAAGACGGCAACAGTGAAATAACTACTAACAAAGTAAAATTCTAGTTTGGTTAAATGTAGTAACAGTGCCTTTACCCTACAGAAAACAGCCTAACCACTAGATTACATATACCAAAAACAGTAAAAATTATATAGTGTTCTAATCAATAGTTAGGTCATTAACTAACTATGAAGATACACTAAATACTTCTGAATTTAAAAGGGAAAAAATAACCCTTTTCTTCAAATAGATGATACCAAAATCTAACTTAATTCCTTAGATTGTTAAGAATCTCGCTAAAGTTTTGAATGTTAAGTACTCTACACCTAGGTTAAAATTCTAACTCCACCGTTTACTATCTGTGCAACATAAGAGGACAGTTACTCAACTTCTCGGTACTTTAGTTGCTCATCTATAAAATGGGAATAGCACTTTCCACGTAGGATTGTTGAGATTTAGTTAATACATGTGAAGTGCTTACAATGCCCACAACTTATTGATCACTGTAAGTGTTTATCGACAGTATTACTCAACTATTAATAGCAGAATGGTATTATTTTTTATGTCATGTATCAAAGGAACAGAATTCTGAGTTAACAAGTTATACTCACAAAGTATTTAACTTTTAAGGTATAAAAAATATTCAAGTTCAATTGTTTAATTTCACAAGCACAGGTCTGCCATTTTAAAATATGAATGCAACAGAACTTTTGATACTGAAAAGTTCAAGCAGGTATTTACTGAAATATATCCAATATTCATGATAAAAGACTCAGATGGCCACAACTAGCAATACCTAGTCAAATCCTATACAAAGTGATGCTTTTACATTTTAAGCCTTCCAAGAGATGTTGGTATGAAGTGGGAAACTAGCAACACCTGCATTGTTTCTGATTATTTTTTTATTAATAAGTTGAATTTTTTTTTCCTAGTAAATTCTATTACCAAGCACTAATTTCTCTCAGCTTGGACAAAATAAAGTCCATGGTAGTAAAATAGTTGCTCATTTAAAGTCCTATTTAACACTATTATTTGAACAGCTGCTGCCCAATTTATAAATATCTAGGTAAGTTAAAAATCACCCATTTTCCCTAAACATGGGAAAAAATGCACTGTAACATGTCTTCTTTACCCATGATTTTCCTGACAGGTGAAAGGTAACAAACCTCTCTCTAAATAAAAGTGGAAAATAAAATTTTTCCCCAAGGAGTATCAGACTCAGGAAAAACAGCTTGTATTTTCTAATTGCTCAATTATTTCTACTTTTAGTGTATTCAACTGAAATCTATTTTATAGCATCCTCTGGCTATAGTTTATCTAATGTTTAAAAGATGCACTCACAAAAAAACAGTACCTTCCCACCTTTCAAACCAATTGTAAGGGCTCCTAGGCCAACTTTCTGGTCCTAACAAAAGGTAAAATATATATTGTGCTTTGTTCCTATTTTCAGGCACTTAATTTCTCAAAGAAAAATAGACTTCAAAATACTTCTTATCACATCTTTAAAAAAAAAAAAGTCAACCTCCTACCTCATAACCAGGGCCCATGTGAATTTAATTCCTCCAACCTAGTCTCTCCCAACTGATGACTTAGGTTAGGCATCTAACTTTCTTCATATAGATTATGATGATACATGTTAACTAAATACACCAAAAGAACTGGCAATCTTGACCTTTAGAAGTTATCTCTTTGAACCTAAAATATTGCATTGACTTATTAGAAAGTATTTCTAGAAACATTCTTGTTAGTGAACAAAGGTTAACTTCATCTTTGTCTACAGGGTTTCACACAAACTTTCAAGGCTTTGTCTTCCAAATAGAAATGAACTTTATTATGCTGATAAAAGCCTCTAACAATCCCTGTTGTGCAAATGGAGCTGCTTGTGCATATGGAAAGAGGAAGCACAAGCTTCAGTCAAGATTGTCTTTACTAAGGAGTCAAATGACCATTAATATTAAGGTTTTCTAAAAATTAAAAAAAAAATCCCTATTATTTTGTAAATCGAATCATGAAAAACTAAGCCACACGGGGCAAAAGGGAAAAGGATTTTTAAAGTTGTCAATCTAGAATATCCATAATTATTGGATTGTGAAAATACTCTAACAACTTAGAAATCTGACTCCGTAGTCATAATATAGCAAGAATAAAATAAACCTACTAAATGTAACTGTTCCCATGCTGGTTCCAAAAGCTAAGACTGAATTTTTTAAAATCTTAACTTCTACCATCTGCAACACCAAGATGGTGACTCTTGGGCATGAGCTAACTTTTCGTTACTATTTCCATACGGAAATTACTGCACCAAGAACCTACCTTCCCATTCTTTTCGATTACAAGAAAAATCACACTGAGTTTGGACTTCAAAAGAGACCTATTTAATCTAACGCTTCAAAAACAAGAAAAAAAAATCTACATGGAGATGAGTGTGATGGAAAATATATAGCAGTGTGCATGGATCACATCTACCAATGGAGACTTCCAAATAAGGGAAGACGGCTGACATCAAGTAAATTTCAAGTAGACACATAGAGCTGAAGAATTTCCATAGGGAGAAGCACTTGTGGTCCTCAGAACGCAATGGCCTTGGAGAAAGCCCCAGAATCCATGGCCACGGGCTATTTCCACAGTGAGACTTCTCAGAAGCATCCTTAGGAGGACACATCAGCTTCTCTGCCTTCAGGGGCTGGGAGGGAGGGGCGCCGAGCACCATCTTTCCTCTTATGGGCAAGCTTCCAACCTGAGCTACTTCCAACTTCCACGGGGAGAGGGGGAGCAGGGGAGCGTGGTTCCACTGCTTTCCTCTCGCACAAGCGCAGCAGCTGAGCGGCCGAGGCAGTGAGGGGAGGCGGCTGGCGCTGCATGCGTGTTTACGTGTCTCGCATGGGTGTGGGGAGAGGAGACAGAGAGGTTCTAATGAAAAGATGGAGGGGAGAGAGAGAGAGGGGTTGGGGAGAAGGGGAGGCACCACCTTTCTTTTCTCTGCTCTTCCTGGGGATCTGAAAACTCCTCCTAACAGGCCTTTCGGGCTCTTCCGGGCCTTTGGGGAAAGCAGCCGCGCCCGCCTCCGAGGAGTCCCGAGGCTGCTCGTGGCCGAGGCTCTGGCCGAGATACAGAGGTTTGAACTG